AGTGAACGTGGCCAGGTGGCGGCCAGTCTTGGAGCACGTGCAGATCGCCACACGCTGCCCTCCAGGAGTCCAGGTGTCAACCCAGTGATCCTGGAGGACGGCGTTGCTCACCAGGTTCGTAGAGAACGAGGGAACGTGGAGACCTGACAGCTCACCAGACGGGACCGCCGGGCACGGGAGCACAGTCGTGGCTCGTGCAAGCACTGGGCCCCCAGAGGGGTCAGCCAGTGAGACAGGGACAGGTGCAGGGAGGGGAGTGACGGTGGTGCTATCGCGAAAGAAACAGCGGGAAGCACCAGAGTCAAGTGTAAACGTGTGCAAGGCCTGAGTCGACTCAGTACCAAGGGGAGCAGACTCACTAGCACCTAGGGCTGCAGCCCTTATACCGGGGTCAATACCAGGATCAGGCGGCACACACAAGTAACAGTCACCCTCAGCACTAACAGTCAATGCATACATGGCAGCAAGAATAACATCATAGTCCAGATCAAAGATAGGCACATCACGCCTAAGCAGCTCGGCCCAGTTGGGGAACTCAGTAGCATCAGGATACTTGGCACGCCAGGCGTCACTAAGCCTAGCAAAACAACGATACTCAGTGTGAAAACCGTTGCAGGGGCGACCCTTGCGGGGGCCAGTACGAATGACATAGGGGCAGCGGTCAGAACCCCGAGACGCCCCACGCCCAGCATACCAGTCATTGAGCTGCTGGGAGGTGAGGGGAGGAAGCTGATGCTGCTCTGGCTGCTGCTGCTGCTGCTGCTGCTGCTGCTGCTGGCCACCAGTGGGGCCACCCTTCTGGCCAGATCCACCCCCACTCCCACCTCCACCGCCACTGCCGCTGCCTCCTCCCCCACCACCGCCGCCGCCGCCTCCACCGCCCCCGGTCCTGCCGCCACCCCACCCACCGCCTCCACCCCCACGGCCACCCCCACCACCTCCACCACCCCCGCCGCCTCCACCACCGCTCCCTCCACCGCCACCTCCGCCACCCCTGCCACCCTTGCCGCCCCTGCCACCACCACGCTTCCCACCAGGAGCGGAAGCCGCTGCGACCTTCTCCGCACCGAGGAAGTCGACAGCAGTAGCAGCAGAGGCGTAGGAGGGGTCAAGAGGGGAGGGGGAGCACCCCTCAAAGAGGGGAGTGCGGGGAGTGCCACGAGCAGCACCGACAGCGAGGATGTTCTTCTCTGCTGCGACCAGCTGCTGCTCGAAGTCGTCCAGAGTGATAGTTGGAGGATCCTTGGCAAGGAAGTGATCCCTGACAGAGCGAAGAGTGTCAGGGAGGCGGGTGACGAGGATGTAGAGGGTGAAGTACAGCGGGGGGGTGTTCGTGGCGAGGAACTCGTCGGTAAGAGCGGCTCGAAAGCGGGCGTCACTAGCGCGGAGGTGAGTGATAAGGTCGGCAGCAGTGTGAAACGAGGCTAAGTCTGGGAACAGGTAAGGCAGGATGAGACTACCAACGGTGGCTGTGGCCGGGGCGGAATAGCGGGCAACGACAGCATCATACAGCGTCTTAGCAGTCTTAAGCTGGTTGAAATGCGCGCGCTCAGAGATCGGTAGGTGATTGCGAATAACAAGGCGCGCGACTGCGTCGCGGAGCTCCCACTGTGCTCGTTCAGGGGCAGGAGCAGTCTCAGCGGGAGTAGGGACAGTGCCAGTGACATAGGCTAGTAGTGATACTCCGTCTGCGACGTCAGTCATAAGGTAAAGCCGCAGATCACTAAGCCAGGTGTCAAACTCGATGGGGCGGCCGTCAGGCTCAAAGGCGAGAACAGTAAGGGTCGCCATGGTTGCAGCGCAGGCAAAAGTAGCAGGCTCAGGCAGCAGGCTCAGGCAGCAGGCAAAGGCTGCAGGTTCAGGCAGCAGGCAACTGTAGCAGGCAGGTGCGCAAGGCAGACGGTAGAGGCGCAAGGCAGGCAAGAAAAAGACAGGGTAAACCCTAAACCCTGGCGGCAGGTACAGGCGGACGCAATGCACGGGGCAGCAATGCGCTGTACGAGCGGCGAACGCGACGTGCAGGGCCTAGGCGGGCTGCGCGCGGACGGTAGGTGCAGCGCGCAGCTCTGGAGTGGGCCACGCAGGCAGCAAACGCGACGCGCGGGGCGGAAAGGGGCTGCGCGCGAGCAACAGATGCGACGCGCGGGCTGCAGACGGGCTGCGCGGGGCCTTAGCGGGCTGCGCGAGGCAGGGACGGGCCGCGCGCGAGCTGTGCGGGCTCAGGGCGGGCTGCGCGGGCGACGGACGGAGCGCGACGCGGCTGGCAGCAGCAGTGCGCGCTAAAAAAAGGCGTGCGCGCGCAGCCGAGGCGCGCGCGGGCAGCAGGCTAGGCAGACAAACAGGCAAGGCAGGTAGGCAGGCCGTTGGTGAGGTAACTGGTGGGCCCTTAAACTTAGGTCCTAAGAACCTGCTCTAGATGCCATGTCGAGATAGCTAGGCAAGGTTGAGTTGCATTGACGAGAGAGATTGCTACAAGAGACACAACCCCAAAGTGTTATCCCCTATAACATCTACCCCACTACAGCCTACCAATATATATCACACATATATATCATTTGACACTTTTATCCCAGTGGTTAGTGGCTGGGATTCTGACAGCCCAATCTTATGTGTCACAAACAGCTAATAGTAATCATCTACAACTTTCTTGATTTTGGCGAGTATAAAGGAACTGGTAGATTTCGATTGTGAAAACTGGTTCGTGCCTCGTTGGCAGAAAATTTTCTTGCCAGCGCTACACAAACCCAACCAAACCTTTCCCCACTGTCAACTCTGCTCCCTTGGGAGTCCCGTTTCTTGAATTCAATCACCTGCTCGACCCTTATCTTCCCACCCCAAATACCTTCACACTCGTTTTTGTTAGTCCGCTTGTTCCTCTGCCAGTGCCTTGCTGCAACTCTCTGGCACCTTGTAGCATGGCGATGCCCAGCTCGTTGCACCAAGGCACCTTGCTCGCTGGAGCCTTGCTGCACACCAGCATGGTGTGTGTGACCCCAGGGGATCTATGCTTCAAATCACGCTTGTGAGTCGTCAAATGCAGTGTTCTTTTGTACTTATTTCTTTCAAGTTTCATTTCACAATCAAGTGCGTGCTCGTCATTGAATAGTTCACTCCGTTTTCCGACTACAATTCGTTTTCTACTTGACCTGTTTGTTTTGCAAGGTGTGCGAGACGCGTTGTGGGGAGCAGGGAGGGATCGAGAGAGGGGACAATGTGGAAAAGGGTGAGAGGAGATTTCGATGGCGGAGGAGAGGAAGGAAGGCGGAAAGGGGGAGGGGGGGGGACAAGGTAGCAGAGATTGATACATAATTAACTTATTGCAACTCTTTGTTATGCTTGTCTGCTCTCAATCTATTTGTGTATGTATGCGTGTGCGGTGCGGGTGTGTTTTGTGCGGGTGTGTGTTCATGTCTTGTCATTGTGTTTGTTTCACTGTGGGGTTGCACTTCGATGCATTCGTGTGTTCGGTTACGTGGGTTGTACTTTTTTTACGTGCGTTTGGATTCGTGTTTGTGGGATGTGTGTTTCAAAGTGTGGTGTTAGTATGTGTTATGTATGCAATTAGAGGTTGTTAATCGTCTTTGGGGCAGCGTGTTTTCGCTGTTTCAACGACCCCATCAACCTCTGTTGCTGCATGATGCATTTTAACATTCATTTCGAAGCACTCACTCCACCTCATACCTTGTTGTTCATTTGTATAATTGCATTCGTTCATGTCGATGCCAGAACATTATGCTCGGCCGCATGATCCGCCGTATTTATCGACGAGGTTGTGACGGCCGAGCAAGTTCATGGTTTCAACATGATACGTACGTGCTTACGTGTTTTGGGGATCTCATTCAAGATTGTTTTTTATCTACTATTTGAGGCATCCGTTTGAACACAGTTTCAAAACATTCAAACGAGTGCTCCAAAACGTGCGTAAAAAACACTCATTGAGAAAGCTTGCTTTCTTGTCCTTATAATTTGGCATCGTTCTCATTGCACCTGTCTTATTACAACATATGCAACGTTCTTAAACACATGCTAGTACATACAAATATTACTAGCTATAGAGTCGTCCGTCCAAGCAGCAGTGGTCTTGTAGTTGGTCCGGGGTGGGTGGTGGGGATGTTGATTGAGCCGTTGAAAAACGAGAAACGTGGGTGGAGGGAATGAACTCCAACCCACGGTTTTTGTAGTTGGAGAAGGGCGTTTAGCGCGCTTCGACGCTGCCAAATATTCGGTACAGGCAGCTTCGCTTTCACAATACACAATTTTGAAAACATCAATGTGTTTGAAAATTATAATTTAGAATGATATCCCCAAAATGTGAAACCAAATATAAAGGGTTGCTACGCAACCCAAAAAACCTAGTGTGTTCTGATACAGCTAAAACAGCGATACAGTAGCGTCCCGACACAAGGGTTTGTAGGTGCAAGATGAAACGTATTGCCTTTCATCAGTAAGTTTTACTGGAATTTGTACGGGTGACCAAATCGTGCCTAGATGTTTTGAACGAAGCAAAAGCAAGCGGGATTACAGAGGCGCCTGACCACAGCAACGCTCCGAAACCCGAAATTGGTAGGCATTGAGCAAGAACTGCAATCAAGCAGATGTGATGTTAGTAACTACCAATGAGGGGAGTGACTATCAATGATGATGAGGGGAGACGAGATGATGCATCGCTTGCGCTCCTCGACGCTTCTCCAATCCTCTCCTCTTGTTCCACCTCCTATCCCTCCCTTATCTCTCCACCAATTTGTCAATGACCATACCTCTCCTGCCCACCATACAACCCTTCCAAACTGCCGTTATTCAATTCATGCCTTAAGACCACAACACAGAAGCAGCCTGGCAATCGCATCGCGATCCCCGGCCCCATCCACCTCTCTTTCCCATCCACCTCTCCTCTTCCACTTCTTCTCATCCACCTTTTCTCCTTCTCGTCCACCCTCTCCTCCTGAGTGCAATCCGAAAAGCTTTAGACCATGCCCGCCTGCTCGAGGTCAGCAGCTGCACTACCGCTGGGGGGGAATGGGCAGCTGGGGACGGGCCTCTAGCATCTCGTACTGTAGCACAAAATTGTCCTGAGGATGGGTGGGAGGGGGATAGCGGAGGGGAGAGGAGGAGAGCAGAAGAGAGTGGGGAAGGTTGATATGTGAGCGTGTTATGTAAGACTCGGGCCTCTAGCATCTCGTACTGTAGCACAAAGTTGCCCTGAGGTTGTAAGGGGGGGGCGTGGGGGGAGGGGGGTTGGGGGTTAGGTAGTGGAGAGGGCGAAATGCAATGTGTTATAGCAGGGATTCAAAAGCTGGGGACGGGCCTCTAGCATCTCGTACTGTAGCACAAAGTTGTCCTGAGGGTGCGGAGCGTGTGGGGAATTGGGTAGGGGAGTTGGGCAGAGTGGGAAAGGCTGAACCGTCAGTGTGCTGCAGACAGAAATCGATACCTGGACATGGGCCTAGAGCATCTCGTGCTGTAGCACAAAGTAGTCCTGCCCCCCTTCCTCTCACTTTCCTGTCTTAAACCCACCACACTACGTACCTTCCTGCCGGTCTCCCACATGGTGGGATTAAAGAAGTAGTAGGGGCCACGCTCGTACGTAAGGGGTTTCACCACTGACCAAGTGCATTCCTCCCTGTCCTTTGCACCTGTCTCCACCTACTCAGCTTCTATCTCCCCACACTCACCTTGCGGCCTGTCTCCCACACGGTGGGGTCAAAGAAGTAGTAGGAGCCGCGCTCGAACGTGGGGGTCTTCACCACCGACTGAGTGCATTCCTCCCTGTCCTTTGCCCTTGCCTTGCCCCACCTCGAAGCCTGCTCTCACCTCCCTCCTTTCCCCAAAACACGCACCTTGCGTCCTGTCTCCCACACGGTGGGATCAAAGAAGTAGTAGGAGCCGCGCTCGTACGTGGGGGTCTTCACACCGGCTGATTCTCCTCACCTTCCCTTGCCCCTGTCCTGTCTCCCCTCACTCAGCACGCTGCTCTCACGTCCCTCCCCACCCTCCACAAAACCCACCTTGCGGCCTGTCTCCCACACAGTGGGATCAAAGAAGTAGTAGGAGCCGCGCTCGTACGTGGGGGTCTTGACCACGGGCTCGCTGTTGGGCACGCGTGTGAACCACACCTGGTGCTCCTTGTGGTAGAACCACCCGCGGTTGCACCTGGAGAGAGAAAGGGACGGAGAGATGAGAATAGGGAGTTACTTTGCAAGCACACACAGGGATCCACCACATGAGCGCACTGTGTGAACCACACCTGGTGCTCCTTGTGGTAGAACCACCCGCGGTTGCACTTGGAGAGAGAAAAGGACGGAGAGATGAGAATAGGGAGTTACTTTGCAAGCACACACAGGGATCCACCACATGAGCGCACTGTGTGAACCACACCTGGTGCTCCTTGTGGTAGAACCACCCGCGGTTGCACCTGCTCTCAGGGAGAGAGATAGGGAGGGAAAGGTGGGACAGGCGATTTACTTCACAGGCACTCAGGGATCAACCACAAGGGTGCCTGGCGTGAACCACACCTGGTGCTCCTTGTGGTAGAACCACCCGCGGTTGCACCTGCTCTCAGGAGAGAGAAAGGGAGGAAAGGGGTGCATGAGTTACTTGTTAAGCCACTCCAAAGCAAACCACGCGTGTGAACCACACGTGGTGCTCCTTGTGATAGAAACACCCGCGGTTGCACATGCGCTCAAGAAAAAACGCGAGGGGAGAAATGATAGTCAAACACACTCGGGAATCGATCACTTGATGAATTGATCACTTGAGTGACAGCGGAATTGATCACCTGTGGTGGAAGCACATGTGGTTGCGGCCCCAGGAAGAAAGATACAGCATAAGGACTAGGTGAGACCGGTACAGAGACACATGAGGAGGAGCGATGCTCACTGTGGGCCCAGCCCCACCCACGGAATACAGTACAGACAGAGTGCCATGCACTGAACCGAATTTCTTATAATAGGCGTTATTTTGCAGGTAGAGTTTAGCCCATAGGATAGGCCATGGGTGCATCCCAGCGAGTACAGTATGCCTGCCGGTGTGCAGACTGTATGTGCGAAATGTGAATTGCGGAAAGCAAAATGAAAGATGTCAGATGCGGGATTTGAAATGTGAAATGTGAAATGATACGGTGCGAGGCGCAGAGCACTCACAGTTCATCAGCAGCGAACAGCTGCGCCTCGTCATGCGGCATGCTGTTGGACAGGCAGGCAGGGCGGAGGGGACACAAAGGAGATACAAACGCAACATCACGGAGGGGGTGAGGAGGAGGGGAGGGGGATGGGGAGTGGGGAGGGTTTGAGACGTCCCAAAACAGTTCATCAGCAGAGAACAGCGGTAAGGTGGAAGGTAAGAGGCGAGGAGAAAGAGGTGGGGTGGTGGGGGAAAGGCAGTGGGGGCTATGATCTATCAGCTAGGAAACAGCAACAGCAGTGAAGGAGGGCGAGTGGCACAAGGGACCTGTGCTCATGGGTGGGTGGGTAACCGTTTGCCAGGAAAACCCCACTCACCCACCCACCGTCCTGCAATGAAACATGTAGCTATTTAACCAGGATTGCAGTACAGGGGTGGAGTGGAGCCGCGGTGGAAACAAGGTGACTCTCGAGTCGACTTATGAAATGGAAGCGAGAGTCAGACAGGGAGGGTGGAAGCACGGAAAATGGGAGGGAGGCCGCCTACTTGTAGTCTGTAGAGATTACAGGCTACACGAATAGTGGGAGTGAATCCTGCCAGATTCTGGTGTCAACAGCACCTCATCACTCAAAGCTCATAACAAAACCTCAAAACTCTCTTAACCCTTGAAACTCAAAGCTCAAACCCTCAAAACTCAAGGTCTCAATTCTTGAAGCTCAAAGGCTCATGAGTTCAAAGCCTGTGGAAAGCTCACCTGTAGAATATATAGAAGAGCGTGTCCTGCTGGAACTTGGAGAAGTAACCCGGCTGCAGTCACACAGTCACATTCGCAGTCACAATCACGCAGTCACAGAGTCACAGAAACAAGAGACGGAACAGAGGGGCAAGAAAGGAGAAGAGGGCGGGGGAGAACACAGAGCACAGAGGACAGTGGGAGATGGTGGGGGAGAAGGGGGAGAACGGAGACGGAATGGGAGAAGGTATGAGGACACATGGCTTGGTGCTACAAACGGAGTCTGCACTAACGTGTGGAAAGTAGCAGCACTGATGGGCCTGCAAACGAGGCATGGGTTGATGGGTGTAGCAAGCCGGCAGGCTAAACCCTAGCTGACCTCTAATCAGCACATCCGTTTACAAACCTTGATGGGGCGCCTAAATAGGCGGAGCCAGAACCGGCTGACCTGCAGACGAGGCGTAGGTTGGATGTAGCAAGCCGGCAGGCTGAATTCCGGCTCAGCTCTCACCTTGTCCGTCCATCTGACTATCTATCTATTTTCATCTAACTACAAGGCGCCTGAAGAGACAGAACCGGCACTGACTGACTGACCTGCAGACGAGGTGTGGGTTGGATGAAGCAAGCCGGGAGGCTGAACTCCGGCTCAGCTCTAATCCGTGTACGCATATCTGCCTAACAACATACTTTTACTCAATTATGAGCGCCTAAAGAGGGACTGACCTGCAGACGAGGTGTGGGTTGAATGTAGCAAGCCGGCAGGCTGAACTCCGGCTCAGCTCTCGTCGGCCCATCCGCCCACGGCGATGCAAACGTGCGGTACAGATTCTCCCGCGAGTTCAGATTCAGCCCGAGAGTCGTCAGATCGGTCCCCAGCGCCAGAGTTGTCAAATCTGGATCGCTCATCCGAATCACACTGAGCAGCCCCAGCAGCCCGTATTTATCCGGCCCGTCTACTCCCTGCTCTTTCCCTGCTCCCACTTGCCCGCTTCCTGCTTGACCCTGCTGCGGGGGCCCTGTGGGACCTGGTGTATTGGATCGAGAACCAGGTGCTGAGCCTTGCTGCTCTCCAGCCTTCCCCCCTCCCTGCCCTAACAGAACGTTTCCAGACCCGTCTGCGTGCCGCAAACTAGATCCCTCTGCCCCCCGTGCCTGCTCCTGCTGCTGCTGCTCCTGCTGCTGTTGCTGTTGCTGTTGCTGCTCTTGTTGCTGTTGCTGCTGCTGCTCTTGCTGTTTCTGCTGCTGCTGCTGTAGAGAAGGGCTAGGGCTAGCAGAGCGTTGCAGGATAAGCATGGAGCTGCTGGGAGCACCTGGTGCATTCAAGGGCGGAGGGGACGAGAGCATGCGCTGCTGCTGCTGCTGCTGCTGCCCCTGCTGGTGGTGGTGCTGGTGGTACTGGTGAAGGTGGGGGTTGTCGTGCAAGCTGAGGTGCTGCTGCTGCTGCTGCTGCTGCTGCTGAAGCATGTCCAAGTGGCTTCTGATCGACCCTCCTGCGCCCTGCTGCTGTTGCTGTTGCTGTGCAGAACTGTCTTTGTCCCCTCCGTTGTCCGCTCCCGCTGCAGGAACAAGCAGCAGGCAGACGAAAGCACGCAGAAAGAGAAAGAGACCAAGCTTTACGCAACTAAGAACTCTAGAAAGCTTGCTGTTTACATTGCGCCATGGTACAGCAGCAGCACGTCTGATCACAATCCCGCGAAAGTAGAACAAACACACGGGTGTTTCAGGCAAGGCACGCGTACCTTTGAGGCCAGGCAGTGCAGGAAAGTCCTCGTTTTGTATGCTGAACTCCGGCCCTCCTTGGTGTAGCAGCGCGTTTAGTGGAGCCCCTTTCCTTAGCACTGCCGCTGCTGCTGACCCTGCACCTGAGGGGATTGAGAAGAGCACAGATGCGGGGTTTAAGGAGGGAGAGTGCGGGAAGGTTGAGGGAGTGCGTCGCTTTTGAGAATCCTCAGAAGCGATTCAGTGGAACCTCTTTCCTCAGCACCGCCGCTGCTGCTCACTCTGCACCTGGCGGGATTGCGAGCAGCAGAGTCGAAAAGGTTGAAGGAGCAGCGTTGACGTGAGAGGTGTGTGTGTGAGTGCTGATTAATGGGTGCGGGTGGGAGGCGCAAGAACACACAGCAGTTGCACAGAACAAAGATTAGGTTCAAGTTGGGGAATGGAGCAGGTGGAGTAGAAGGATGCCTGTTCAAGTACCAACCTGACGCCATGGCCCCACTCCCAGGCGGCCTTGTGTTGAGCGTGGGAAACTCGCTCATGTCAAACGCAGCACCGTCGCCCTCTCGCTGCTCGCCCCTCCCGCCCAATTGCTCCTGATCCTGCCCTCCCTGCCTCGACTCCTCCCCCTGCTCGCCCTCCCCTTTCGACCCGTCCCGTTTGCCCTCTCCCTGCCCCTGCCCCTGCTTTTGTAGCAACACTGAACCTCCCTGCATCTGCCCCTGCTGCCCCTGCTGCTGCATGTGCTGCTGCTGCTGGTCGAGGAGCAACGAGGAGGGACCTAGCTGCCCGTTGACTGCTGTCATCTGCTTCGGCTGCTGCAACAGCTGCTGCTGCTGCTGCTGCTGCTGCTGCTGGGATTGCAGATAGCTGTTGCTGGAGAGCATGCCCGCGGGCGTACCAGCTGCACATCAGAGAGGCGAGGGGAGAGACCGGATGCTGAGAACTTGGCAAAGGCAATGGAAAAGAGCAGACGATAAGGAGAACAGCAAAAGGGGACGGAAAGGAGGGGAAAGGTGTGTGTGTGTGTGTGGATGGAGGGGTGAGGGGGTTGAGGGAGGGGACGCTCGGAGCTAATGCCCAAACGAATAAGCCTCGCACTCACCGCGGTTGATCATAGCCATCACGTCTCCTGACGGCTGGTACGACACTGTATAGGTCGAATAAGTTGGATTCGATACTAGTTATAGCTAAAATCAAACAACCTCACACTCACCGCGGTTGATCATAGCCATCACGTCTCCTGACGGCTGGTACGTCGCACCCTGCAACCCCTGCTGGCCCCCCTGCCCTTGCTGCTGCTGCTGCTGCTGTCCAACCCCCACCTGCTGCTGCTGATGATGATGCTGCCCCTGCGATTGCAACCCTAACGCTAACATGCTGCTGCTGCTGCTGCTGCTGCCTGCTGCTGCTGCCCCTGCCCCTGCCCGGAAATCATTCCTGCTCCCAGCGGCCGCCCAGGCCCCTGCACGCCCACCGCCCCTACACTTCCCCCCAACCCTACCGTTCCAAGCGCGCGCGCTCCCCCTACCGTCGACATGCCCAGAGCGCCTGCGGGGTTCATCGCTCGAGACAACCCCGCGCTCGCCCCCGCGCCTGCCCCCGCGGAAAGCCCCATCCCTCCCCCCGCCCCCGCCATGCCCAACGTCCCGGGCGCGCCTAGTCTCCCCGCGGACCCCGCAATCTGAGACGGGTTCACCCCTAGACCCGCGGACCCGATTGTCCGCTGCCCAGGTACGTTCGCGCTCATTCCACTCATCCCAGTCATTCCGGTCATTCCGCTCATCCCGCTCATTCCCCCGCCCGCTGTTGCTACTCCGGGCGCGCCTGCTCCGCCGGATAGTCCACTCATGCTGCCCGCGAAGGGGTGACCGCCTACTAGGCTCACTCCGCTTCCACGGTTGGTCACCGCACCTGTGTGCGCGTGCAGCCCTGGGATCTGCTGCTGCTGCTGCGGCGGCGGCGGTGGTGGTTGGTGATTGTGGTGGTGGTGGTGGTGGTGGTGGTGGTGGTGGTGGTGGTGGTGGTGGCAGGAGAAATTGTTTAAGACCGTGGGGGAAGGAGCGATGAGAGTGTGAGAAGTATATAGAGGGGGAGAGGAGAAGGAGAGGGAGAGAGAGAGAGAGAGAGAGAGAGAGAGAGAGAGAGAGAGAGAGAGAGAGAGAGAGAGAGAGAGAGAGAGAGAGAGAGAGAGAGAGAGAGAGAGAGAGAGAAGCCAAAACGAGAGAGGGAGAAGATCCAAAACGAGAGAAATATGCAGCGAGACGCAGGTGGACGCGCACAAGGCGAGCACATGACAGATAGCCAGCCAGCCACGAAACGCCAAGCGCGCCAAGCCAACCTCACCCTCGCCTCACCTTCCCCGTGCTTGCCAGTGCCTCCCAACACACCCTAGAGGCATCCACGCAAAACAAAAATTTTCCTACCCCATAATTCCGACCGTCTTTTCCCCCCTTCCCCTTCTCTTACCTGCTGAAGGTTGGTCGGGAGTGCGCTGGTGCCGAACCGGCCTGCTGCCATGTTGCCTGCGGATGGAGGTTGCGCCTGCGCGGACGGCACTCCGCCCATTCCCGTGCCTCTCGTAAGTGCGTTCTGCATACTCTGTATGCTGTACCCCGTCGCTTGCACATTGTGCAACGATTGCAAGTTACCTGATGATATACGGAGGGAGAAAATTGGGCAAATTTAAAGGAGAGCACTGCGCACTCAACGTGCTGAAGCCAGTCCAGCGGCTGGAATGACAGATAAGTGCATATGTGGAAAAGAATAAAGGAAAAAAAATACAGCGGCGGAGGCGAACGGAAGGATAACTCAATGCAATCGCAAGTCTACACCGCGGAAGGAAAAAACGAATCGACCAGACAGGTGAACGAAAGCTCAGCTTACATCTCCCAAGGAACCTACCTGGACCTGTGTGTGGCGCTTGTGACTTCGCCGATTCATTGGAAAGCTAGAAAGCTCAGCTTACCTCCGTGATGGAACGCTCCTGGATTTGCTGCTTGTGTCTGTGGCGCTGCAAACGATGATGCGAACTGGCGACTGGAGTTCCCCGAATCAAGCACGGCTGGTGTTGATGTGTTAAGCATCGACTGCTGCAAGGCCATAGAGCGAGTCATTTTGCAATTCTTCTGTTAAGAAAACGCACAGAATTGCGAAAACGGCGACGCAAGCGGACATCCGCTAGGAAAACAAGGCTTTCAAGTATCTAACAAAAAAATTGACAGTCTCAACCCGCGGCGGAAGCGGATGCGACGAGGATACGGAGGTAACCGTGAGAGTGTAGATACATACCTCCTTGACAGAGGCATCTTGTCTATAAGGGTAGTACATTGTCGGATCAACGCTGAACATCTACCGGGCATTTCGCTTTCTTCGCAGATCCAGCTTGCCTGAACACATCCCACCAACCACTAAGCATCAGTCGACAGGCGGTAGACGTTAACAACACCGCATCGGACGCGTGTCAAATTCGCTAACGTAAGAAAACCCATTAGCTTTCGGAAACAGCGCTGAGCTAGCGTTGGGCGACAATAACCTTTGATGACTTCCAAGAATATCTAGCGTTCTGTTTAAGTCAAAGATCCAGTTTCTGGCTTCTTAGAGATGGGCAAATCTACGGTTCTGAACAACGCTGTTCAAGACAACCCTTCCTAAATCTGAACCCAACGGACCCGCACTATAGAAAGAGCTATAGGATGCCTAACGGGGACCAAATAAGGAGCAAATCGCACTCAGACCTAAACAGTTGTGCAGGCGATTGCAGCGACGACTGTGAGTATGAGGACTACTCTACAAGGCCGATGCAAGATGGCTAACGATCGCGATAGTAGCGTAAATGACGAAGTTTATTTACCTAAAGGAAACACCTCAAAACCGCAGGAACGAGCTCAGCAGCCCAACTCAACTTCCCGTGACCTCGTCACAACCGCAACAAAGATGATCGCAAGAATTAAATTCCTAAGCGAAAAAAACGTGCTATCGGAGATGGAACGAACGAAACGTTAGCAGTCCATATTGCGAAAAGAACAGGTTGTCAATGGATGCGGAGAACGGCCATGATTTGAACTGGTATAAGGAAGAAAGGAAAAGAAGCAGAAACTAGAGGATTTGGTAACCCTAGCTTTTATCCTCACTGCTCCACAAGCAGCAATCGTAATCGCGAGTCACGTGCAACCCGAAGAAAAGAGGCGGAGTGAGGCGAAGGGGAAAGGAAGCGGAGAGGATGAGATAGGCAGGGGGAAGAAGAGCGGAGGGCTGCGTATGACGGGCGGGGAGAAGCAGAGTATGCGCGCGCAAAAGGCGGTGGCGGGAACAAGGCTGCCCATTGCGCAACAGGCCAGCTAGGTCAAAAACCGCGATGAGTGGTCGTCAGGCTGTTGCTCAGAAGGCCCCAGCCAAACGCACATTCAAAATCCAGAAATACGTTAACAGACTTTATGGAAATCCAGAAATACGTGATTGTTGAGGAAATTCTACTATCGATAGTTCAATCAGCGTGAAGCCTTCCTAAGGTGTACAGCTTATGCTATGATCAACTAAAAGAATCAAATACTTCCACCAGAAAAAACCCACCAGAACAATACAGATGTGGACATAAACACATGTTCACATGTACTCCTGTGCAGCACCTCACGAATTAAATAAAATCAATCAAGCAGCATTCAAACTATAAGATGCGAAGCAGCAGCAGAGTCAGGTCAGGCGGGCAGGAGTGGAGCGCAAGGAAAACAACAGGATTGGTGCAGCAGGAAAACGTTCCGGTAGGAATATTCCTAGCAAACAACCTAGCACAGTGCATAGTTCGAGCACAGGGCACTCAAAACAGCCCTGGTGGCTGATACATCGATGGTGCACGGACTTGTTCGTTCACTGCCGAGCCAAAGCCATTCTGGGCATCACTGTGTGGCCAGCTTAGGGCTGCAGGACTGAGCGAGCGAGGGGCATGAAGAAAAGCATCTGAGTGGGTGAGGGAATTACTCGGAACAAGGGCTTGTGGAAGCTGTGGAGCTTGTGCGAAAACATGAGGGTGCTGAGGTGGACGAAGAGAAAATGTGCCACTCTGGCTGGTGTTCCCCAGAAACTGGTCGACAGGAGCTGCTGGTAGATATTCAAAGCTCCGACTCGGGACAGAATGATTCTCAGTCTGAACGGCTTGCGACAATGGCTGAAAAGAACTGGCTCCTTGAGAGAGCGGCGGCTGATACGATGAAGGCAAGGAGTCGAGTGGGTCCGACAAAAATAAGGAGGACGAAAAACCAGAAGTGGTTCCAGAGGCGAAGGCAGCCTGCTGCTGCATTTCAGCATTACCCAATTGCCAGTTGGTACTTTGCTGTAGTCCAGACACACTGCTGGTAGTGGCAGCTGCGGCGATATGTGGCATCTGGTCTGTGTCAGTCTCACAGACCGATCCGCAAGGAGCTTTTGTGGAAGGTGGAGAAGGTGACATCTGAAGCTCAATGGTCAGTGATACTGGATTCTTGCAAACGGGGCAAAGGGCCAAGGATGGAGAGCACTTGGCACATGAACACACATGAGAGCACTCCAGAAGAAGCTGCAAAAACATGAGAAAAAACAAAACAAAACGAAACAAACAGAAAATCAATCTGAGAGTCCATTCTCGATCGCCAGTTCTGCTTCGTATATAAAAAGTCAATGGACTCACCACAGTGGCAGGCTGAGACTTGCAGACCATACAGCAGCCATAACTATCATCACCTGCTTCACTTGCACTTGAATCTGACTGCACATTTGAAAGTTCTGTAGAGCTGTTGCCAAAAGCAGAATCAGAAGGTTGATTCTGAACAGGACGGATTGGTTCTGGCTTTGGTTGAGGAACTTGAGCTGAACGAGGCTGTGCAACCCTCTTTTCCTGCACAAAAGAATCAGCACTACGAACCGAAGGATTCTCAGGCTTCGGCTTGGAGAGATTGGGGAAAGCTTCTGATTCGAGAGAAACGGCAATGCCCGAAGTGACCCCCGGGGCCTGATTAGCCCTCTCAGAATGAACAAGAGGTTTAGTTGACTCTGTGTAGTAGGTCTTTCTCATGTACTCAAGGGTCGTCAAAAGGTGATGAAATGCTTGTGAACTCAGCAGGGATGACACTCGGTCAACCCTCACATTCAACATGCTGCAAGTGGGAGAATGTTGAGGGGAAGAAGAGGCAACAGGAAGAGAGGCAGGGGGGGAAGAAGTGCAAAATTTATTGAAGGATGAGATGATGGTGGGATGGGGATGAGCGGAGAAGTGGAACAGGCAGACAGGGATGGGGTGTAGAGGGAGATGTGGAGAAAGGGAACCAGACTTATGTTTGCTGGAAAGTTATGGAAAAAAAAGGAACAACAAAACAATGCACAGGCTTGTATTTGAATGTCAAGATTATGATACTTACTCGTCTGGAAGGATGCTCAGGCCAAAACACAAAATTTCCAGGGCTTGCTCAGACTTTGCAAAATATGAAACGTGTGCCGCAGCCTGGAGAAGTTCATCAGCAATTTTTGCCCGTGACGCTGATGATACTGCAGTCACGACAGCATTATTTTGTAAGAACAGGACGAACAAACTTCTGTTCAGCAATGCAGAGCTTACCAGAAATGATAATAATAATAATAATAATAATAAAAACTTACAAGATGGTGTTGCAAGACATGCTCGAAGCAGCCGCCCACTCTGCAGCGGGGAGGTATCACAAGCCATGTCTGAAAAACAGCCAGATATCGACCCCAGCATAGTCTCGGCTACCTCCACCAGATCCAAGCTGAGACAAGGATAATAGAAAGAAACGAGTCAGCTAACAAGTGCGTAACGAAGTGAAAGTTATTGTGAGCCTCAAGCACTGTACCTTAAAAGACCTTGCATGGAGCGAACTCCAGCGCGGGTCTTCAAGAGCTTATTTCCACCACTCGCCATATTCAGAGCAGCAGCGATTGCATGCCTTGAAGGCAGTGACCAGCGAATACTCTCAATCAGAAGCAGCGACGCCAGCTGGATTCATTGAACACATCAGCTAAGATGCGATGCGAACAACACCTTCAATCTGAAAACAGTAGCGGACAGTAGACCCTGACTTACCCCATGCTGTCCAACATAAACTGACGTTTCTTGATCTTTACCAAGCTCCGCGCAGATATGTGCTAAAGAAGTGAATGCTAAGGACGGTGGAATACGTGCTTTCATTCCCATAGGCGGGCGCAAGGAGCAAATGCATATCTCAACCTGCAAAAGGTGAAGCAATGGAAAAAACAATTTACCAGCTTCACAACCATAAAGCGGTTAGTACGGGATAACAAGAAAAACGTACAATTCTTTCAATCACATAAACTGCATACTGGTCCATCACCATTGAAAGCTGCACAGTAACAAACGGAAATCAGTTAGTCACTATAAAATAACAATGAAATAGAGGAGAACTTCAAAAGACTTACAATGCTTCCTTTAATACTTTCCATAACCATCTTCATTTCTTGAGGTCCATAGAGGCACACAAGCTGCCAGACCACCAGACAGGTTGTAAGAAAATCTGTTAGTGCACCCATCTTCCTGAATCAGAGCAAGATTCCTTCTAACTAACCATTTTCTGAATTGTAAAGGTACCCCGCTGATCCTTTGAAGAAGTCACCAGCCCGTTTTCACGGGTCAAAAAGCGCACAATGGAAGTGAAGCCACACTCCCCATGAACCACCTCATTCCTCGCATTACTTGCATAATCAAAAAGCTTTTGCAGGACATAATTTCCTGACACTGAACAGAGAATGTCAGAGAACAAAGAATTAAGAATACTGAGGACAAATGGCGAAGCGTGGTGACTCACAATGTGTTGAGAGCTTTGCTGCATGAGGAGCGAGACTTTCAAGAGCTTGTTTTCCCACCCTAGACCTTCTAGGGTTTCCTGGACGCAAGTGGTAGGCCAGGTGCCTTGACCCCTGGTGGAGTATGAAATGAAACGAAGGTGGTCAATACCGAATCTTTATGGAAACGAGTACATCATTCAAGCAACAACGTACTGTGCGATCATAAGCCATGGCGACGAAGTCATCGTAAGGCTTCAGAGGGGGGACAATGTAACCTTCTTTCAGGTCATCCGGTCGCGTGTTCAACCGCAATCCACTCCCATCAGCACCAGTGACGCTGGGAGGAGGAACATACTCATTCAACCCCCCAATTGAGACAACTCCGCTCCGTCCATACCGAACGATTTCTTTGGAAAACCCTTTGGCGTTCCCAGCTCCAATGAGTAACTGGAAGGATTGCCTTTCTTCTCGCAAGTAATCATCTTGTGGCTTGATGGATTTAACTGGAGGTAACGTGTTGGAATAGCTTTCAACAATCTGACGGCAGAAAGGGCAGCGGACTCCTTTATCAGCCTGCATGCAACGAGACGTTAAGGACTCACGTTCATGAATGCTCTGGTTGCAGCCATGGCTACTGACAAACAACCACAGAAACTGATTAGCATCAGGACCTTATAAACAGCGGACTGTCTGAGCCTCTGGACGCAATCTGCGCACGCTTTGTGGCGGCAAGGAATAAAGAATAAGTCCGCAGACGTGTCTTCACAACATATCGCACAGAACTCGCCATCAGAACCTTCTGACTTCTCCTCATCAATCTTTAAAGACGAACGCAAACCATCAACCAAAGAATCGTGCGCCGTACCTCCCTTAACTCGGGCTTCTTGAGATGCAAGCAACCTGTTCAGGAACGACATGATGCTGGCGGTTCGCTGACCAGCTGGTATTTGCTGAGTGGCTACTCTGGCTCGGAATCTGGTGCTCGATGGTTGTGATTGCGGTGGTGCTGTTTTGGGAAGAGTAGCGAAGCTGTGCTGTCTGTTGGCTGTACTGCTTCGCCAAAGAGTATTCGATACTTTGTTGCAACCACCAAATTGGCTACTGTCATTTGCCACAGCAAGTTTGTGTTCATAACGAAACACTCACTAGGGAAAAAGTTTGGAGCTGAACCAGGGCGTTCCTTCCCTTCCTATCTCTCTGTCCATGACTTCCACCTCATTTTTGCCTGAATGTCATTCTCACACGAACCACATCCCAGCTCTGCTTTTCCGCAATGAGTTCAGGTCATCAGCCGTCAAGTGAGAGTGAGGTAACGAATGCGACCATGTCAGGTGCAGGCGAAGCGAAGGTCACAAGCACACCAGATGAAGACGCTCACGCCGTATTATCATCTGCCCTCATGAACTCCTCCGTTGAGCTCAACACATGGAGCTCCATCAAGTCGTTGCGTGGATTGAGCGTATCGACTCCACCGGAATCACCTGTTAGCGCAGCTCTTACCTTCTCAGAAACATACTGGGTACGTCTACTGCACTTGCTTATATCATCCCTGGCCTCAATTAACACTGACAAATCCGCAGAAGAGGAACATGCTAACGTATGTGGATAAAGTCCCTGATGGTTTTGTTGACGTTTGGGGAGCAGCCGAGCAGTTTCCGTTGTCATCATCCGTCATCCTTGACAACTTCCCAGCGACTGTTGAGGCTGTTCTAGTGGACAGAAAGTCAGACGCCGAGCTGGTCCTTCTTGAACGCAAAGCAATGTTGATTGACAGTCCACCCAGTCCTTCCGGCGCTCGCACAACTGCTAAGCTCGGTTGGCGAGGCACAGCAGTTCGTTTGGCAGAGCTTGTCGCAAACCGTATGGGAGGAACAGCAGACTCAGACCAGTCTCTGCAGTCTGACTGGCGATCTGTATTTTGGAAGATTAAGAGCGCATTTCGGAATCACTACATTTCTCTTGGCTTGATTACTTCTGGATTGATCAGGCACAGGGTCCTTCTCTTTAAGGTAAGTCTAACTCGCTTTACCAGTTGCGTGTTGTTTGAGTAAGATTCATTGGCACGTGTTGTCTTCCAGGTGCTGGCGGATAAAGTTGGCGTACCTTGCTGCATTGTCCGTGGTCGGTTTTACACTGGCACAAAGGACGATGCAAGGGCCAAGATTCGAGATGAAAATGGTTCAGAATATGTGGTTGATTTAATGAAAGCGCCAGGCCTTTTAGTCCCGGTTACAAATCTGGAAACGCCTACAATCTCACCAATTGCAAGTCCGGTTGGTGAACACTGTGATGGGGGAACAGAGCTTTTTCCAGCGTTGGTGGCATCTATGGCGAAATTACAGGGGAAGGATGGTACGTGGACAGCACTTCAACTCCTAGACTGTAAGCCAGTTAGCCCTAAACTTTGACTCAAAACACCTTTACAGGACCAGGACCTGATTCTCGGAAAACTCGTTTTGGGCAAACGCCTCTGAGTGATCAAACTGGTTCTGAAAGTGGATCAGATGTCGGAAGCAGCAGCCCAATGTTCCGCCCCGAAGACAAGAAGAACCGACGTAGATCACCTTCCTGGACTGATGGATGGGGTTCCCCACAAGTTCCCATGCTTGTTGCAGATGTTGCCAAGGAGAATCCAAGATTTGCGCAGAGGCTAAAGGTATGACATACTTTCATCGTGAGAGTCAAATGCTCGTCATCTGCTCATTTCGATACTTTCTTTCTCAGGCTGTTCTGCAGTCTCCGGATAAAGAAAAGCGACAGCTGTTTTCAGACAATCAGGTACGAAGTATCATTTTTTGCTCTTTCTTATTTATTCTTGCTTTTTCTTGATGGACTAAAACATCTGTGCAGGCTGTAGAAACAGAGGAAGCAATGCTAGGAGCAGGTAATGCATGAGGGGAAACTTCAAATCAAGCCAGCTGAACTCTTCATGTGCATTTTTCAACAGAGTGTATGCATGGCAGGTCAAACCAACAACGGCGAGAATGCCTTGCATTCAGTATGTAAAGACCCAAACGATTTCAGTTTCACAAAAGAGATCAAAATATATACGATGGATGGCTATTTGATTCCAAGGGGGGCAGTGTCACTTGGAGAACGAGTGGGACTAGGTATGTGTTGTGGCTGAAGCAATCAAAGATCACATTTTCCATGTTGAAACAAGGTTTGTCTTGCAGGTTCCTTTGGAGAAGTGTTCAAGGGCGAATGGAATGGCTTTGTACGAATATTTGTTATGGCTTAGCTTTGTCTCTTTGGCAGATGACACTCTGTTAACACTCGCTCTTGGCAGGAGGTGGCTGTGAAGAAGCTGATAGACCAAGAAATTCCAGCGGACGCAGTTGAAGATTTCAAGTCTGAGGTATAAAAACTATTGGGCTGGTCCCTTCTTGCATCATCGTGGTTTGAGTGTACCCAGGATAATCTCACTTTATCCGGTGAACTAGGTTGCTATGATGCATCGACTGCGTCATCCCAACATTCTGCTTTTTATGGGTGCAATCATTGACCCTCCACATCTGTCAATTGTGACAGAATTTCTCCCAAGGTATGAGTGTTGTGTAGTATTCGGTATCTGTCAACCCACTTGGTGATCTGTTTGGAGTGCCAGGGGAAGTATTTTCCGACTGCTCACAAGGCCAAATGCATCGTCAAGCATGGATGAGCGGCGGCGGTTAAAGATGGCACTAGATGTGGTGAGTTAGTGTTCTTGTTGGACTCCCCTCTACAGTAAACGCAATCTGAGTCTGAGTGCCTTGTCTATGCAGGCAAAGGGCATGAATTACCTTCACTGCTGCAACCCTCCTATCGTGCACAGAGACCTCAAATCTCAAAATCTTCTTGTCGATAAGAACTGGGTCGTGAAGGTGAAACATTCATACTATGTGTGCTATTTTTTGGACAGTGAAACATGCAACGACACTGACACAGGCGCCTTATAGGTTTGTGACTTCGGCCTTTCAAAGATCAAGCATCAGACGTATCTCTCGTCAAGGACTGCAGCAGGAACTGTATGTATGACCCATTCTGCTTCGTTGTTGATGTATCTGATTTTTTATACCATCTGTCATTATTTGCAGCCAGAGTGGATGGCCCCAGAAGTGCTGCGTAATGAACCTACAAATGAGAAGTAGGTTGGCTGCTTGTGCTCTAGCCACTCCTGCCAGAACCTCCGTCACCTTTTTCCACTCTTTTCGCACCCTTTGTTCAGTAGATGTGTGCTTTCTATCTAATTCGAGTTGTTTGTTTTCAGGAGCGATGTTTACAGTTTTGGTGTAGTCCTTTGGGAGCTCTCGACAATGCAACGCCCATGGAGGGGCTTGAACGCCATGCAAGTTGTTGGAGCTGTTGGATTCCAGCAAAGGAGGCTGGATATACCAGCATCAGTTGATCCTGCTGTTGCAGAAATCATCAGAGCTTGCTGGGCAGAGTATGTCCCATGACCTTTTTGCGTTCTCCCCTTCTAGGATTCTCGTTTCTAAGGTTCCCATTTTCTCCCAAGCAGGAAACCTTCTGAAAGGCCATCATTTTCACAGATAGTACATGAACTCAAAGCCCTGCATAAAAGGTGGACTTCTCCAGTGAGCCCAAGGTCACCTACATAAGTGGAACGTTTATGTGCTGCCACCTCCAGTGTTCTGCTCTGATGACTTTGGTTTGAGGGGTGAGCATGTGAATTCATAGCTGGAATAGCAAACCGTAGTACATTGTCATGACAACATTACTGCTGCAAGTGAAGTTCCTACTGATGCAAAATGCTCTACGCAGTTGCTGATTCTGGCATTTTGAACCAGACATGATGAGGCACGAGAGACCCCTCATGCTTTGCCATGTATTGAGCGTTCATCCTGCCAAGAAGCAATGGGCGCATGGACAGACATTATTGAAGTGGGCAAACTCATCATGTGGCCATTAAATCTGAGAGGTTGGGAATATGAGGGGGGTCCATGTAACAAGGGTGGCAAAGACGGGGGACTAACATTACCACATGCAGCAGTTAGCTTACTTGTCCACGTCAGGGGCACGCAGGGGATCGAAGGGTTCTGGGGTCACTCCAGCTGCAAACCCAGAAGCCGGTGCTGCTGCTGCACTTTGTGGTGCTGGTGTTGTGGCGGGGGATGCTGCCGCTGCCGCTGGAGCAGCTTGAGCTTGAGGCCAAGCCTGGCACCACAGTGGAAACGATGTAAACACAAGTTCATCCAAATACAACAGTCAAGCCAGTACATCATGAGCAACCCTGCCAGACCCCTCATTCGATAAGATAAACAAAAACAAATAACACTGCTTGAAACTCTTTGACGTGCACGTACCTGTTGCTGTCCGTAGCCCCCATAACCTCCATATCCACCATATGAAGCATATGCCCCCTGGTTGTAGCCCCCTGAAGCATCGTAACCACTGTAACCTCCATAGTAACCAGTGCTACCGGCAGCAGCGCCCCAGCCACCTGCTGCATTAGGATCATGCTGCTGCGGCTGCTGCCACTGAGAGCCTTGCGAAGGGTATGTCGAGGTGCGCTGTGCAATGAACCAATAACGCAAAGAGAACAACGGGTATCAGCATCAGAGTAGTAAGACTTAAGACGAAACGAAAATAGCGACGAAACAAACGCCATGCGCATACACATACACATGCTCATGCACAAGCGCAAACACATACGCATCGAGATGCACATGCACGTCACATATATGAACCTCTTAACGCATGAGGCAATGGTACCTTTGAGGCGGGATTGCGCCCCCATGAGAGCTGCACAGACTGCTGCCCAATGACTGTGCTGTGACCTTGCACATAGACACGCACCACACTGCACCAACCCCTTTCAAGGCATGAGGCAGTGGTACCTTAGAGGCAGGATTGCGCCCCCACGAGAGCCGCACAGACTGCTGCCCAATGACCGTGCTATGCACATGCATATAGACACGCACCGCACTGGATCAACCCCTTTCAAGGCATGAGGCAGTGTTACCTTGGAGGCGGGATTGCGCCCCCACGAGAGCCGCACAGACTGCTGCCCAATGACCGTGCCATGCATGTTCCTCAACGCCTCCTCTGCCTGCGATCTGATGATGGGGGTGAGGGGGGGGAGAGTGCGGACGAAAAGCAGGAACCAACATGGAATTAGCTTCTCAGGTGCCCCAAAACCTGATGACAGGGGAAAAATGGGGAAAACAAAAGAAGGGGGGTGGGAAAGAAGGGCGGATGATGATTACTACACACTGGGGGAACGCAGGAAGGATAGAGTAAGTGCACAACAGATGACCCATGCACCAGTGCACCAAAGCACCCATTCACCATCCATCCATCCACCCATCCATCCATCCATCCATCCATCCATCCATCCATCCATCCATCCATCCATCCATCCATCCATCCATCCATCCATCCATCCATCCATCCATCCATCCATCCATCCATCCATCCATCCATCCACCCACTCACCCATGCACCCATGCAACCATGCACCCAGCCACCCATCCACCCATCCATCCATGCATCCATCCACCCATCCACCCATGCACCCATGCACCCATCCACCCATGCACAATGCACCCAGCGGTGTCTGAACTGCACGAAGCCACACCCCTTGCCGAAGGGAATCTTGACGTAATACAGCTCGCCCCACCACTGTAGCAGCCGTCATCCGTGCGCAATGCACTCACCGGTGTCGGAATTGCACGAAGCCACAGCCCTTGCCGAATGGGATCTTCACGTATACCAGCTCGCCCCACGGCCCAAACACCGCCCTCAGCTGCTCGTCCGTCACACTCTGGTCCAACCCTCCGACAAAGATCTGATGGCATACGGCCAGGGAAACACCAAGAATGAACGAGAAGGTGGCTGATGAGTTGATTCCAAACACCACAATAATCAAGCTCGCCCCACGCCCCAAAGACCGCCCTCAGCTGCTCGACCGTCACACTCTAATCGACCGTCACACTCTAATCCAGCCATCCTATTGAAATTTCACGTGGAATGGGAGGCGAAACACCAATTATGAGAGAAAAGGATGCTGAGGGGATGACCCAAACACCACATCACACCAAACCGCACAAGCACACCCCACACACCACGACCAACTCACCGTGGTGTTAGTCGGGTCATCCTCCCCCCCCCGGTCCCTGCGGCTGGGGCTGGGGGCCTGCTCTCGCGCCTCCCCCTTGCCCAGCCAACCCACACATTGCTGACGCACTGTATATGAGAATAGCCTATCCCACTCACCGTGGTGTTAGTAGGGTCATCCTCTCCCCCTGGTCCCTGCGGCTGGGGCTGGGGGCCTGCTCTCGCGCTGCCCCCTTGCCCGGCCAACCCACACATTGCTGACGCACTGTATATGAGAATAGGCTGGCCCACTCACCGTGGTGTTAGTAGGGTCATCCTCTCCCCCTGGTCCCTGCGGCTGGGGCTGGGGGCCTGCTCTCGCGCTGCCCCCTTGCCCGGCCAACCCACACATTGCTGACGCACTGTATATGAGAATAGCCTATCCCACTCACCGTGGTGTTAGTAGGGTCATCCTCTCCCCCTGGTCCCTGCGGCTGGGGCTGGGGGCCTGCTCTCGCGCTGCCCCCTTGCCCGGCCAACCCACACATTGCTGACGCACTGTATATGAGAATAGGCTGGCCCACTCACCGTGGTGTTGGTAGGGTCGTCCTCCCCCCCTGGTCCCTGCGGCTGGGGCTGGGGGCCTGCCCTCGCACCTCCCCCTTGCCCGCCCTGCGCACCACCTGAAGTTAGGGGCAAGATGAGATCAAGAAACGAACAGGACGCCTCCACCTTGTGAGTCCAATGGCATTTTGAAAGTGACTCCCGTCCTATAAGTGACTCCAGACTACCCCTCCCACCCCTCAATCTGCCCCTGAGCTTCAGGCTTCTTGTGAGTGGTAATACTGATGCGCATGGGGTGGGAGAAGCACATCACACACCCACCGTACCCCACCGCACTCCAACCAACTTCACCCCTCCCCTCCACAACCTGCCTGAATCCTCACTGGTCCCTCTATTTCCCCTCACCTTGCCCCGGCGCGCCAGGCTTTTTGAGAGTGGCGACGCTGACGCGCATGGGGCGGGAGGAGCACATTGTAATCCACCCACATTAGCCCACCGCTCTCCACCCATCTTCACCCCTTCGTCACCCCAGCGCCCATCTTCCCCTCACCTTGCCCCGGCGCTCCAGGCTTCTTGAAAGTGGGGACGCTGATGCGCATGGGGCGGGAGGAGAAGAGAACACACACACCCACCCTAGCCCACCGCCCTCAAACCCACCTTTTCCCCTTTCCCCACAGCCTGCCGCCTCCTAGCCTGCCCTCACCTTGCCCAGGAGCTCCGGGTTTCTTGGGAGTGGCGACGCTGATGCGCATGGGGCGGGAGGAGCACATTACACACCCACCAACCCTACCGCACTAGACTCATGTGTACCCCTTTCCCCCACAGCCTGTCAATTCCTCTCACCTTGCCCAGGAGCTCCTGGCTTCTTGGGAGTGGCGACGCTGATGCGCATGGGGCGGGAGGAGCACATCTGGCCGTTCATCTCGTGCAACGCACGGTCCCGCTCCTCCTCTGAGGAGAATCGCACAAAGCCATAGCCCTTGGTGCGCCCACTCACATTGTCCACCACCACCTGAAAAATAAGGGGGGAGGAGAGGCAGGGAGCAATGGGGAAGAGGGGAGGGGATTGACAAGGGTGGGAGTAAGACCTCTGGAGGAGAATCGCACAAAGCCATAGCCCTTGGTGCGCCCACTCACATTGTCCACCACCACCTGTTGCATAGGGGAGGCGGCGGGGGCGGGGAAGGCGCAGGGAAGGGAGGTTGCGGGGGAGGGGGGGAGAGGGGGGAGGGGTAAGGGGAAAAGGCCCTTGAGGAGAATCGCACGAAGTCGTACCCCTTGGTGCGCCCACCCACTCACATTGTCCACCACCACCTGTTGCAGGGAAGGGGAAAACGCGGGTAGAGAAGCAAGGAGGGAAGGCAAGGAAGAGAGGAGCAGTGGGGTGTTCAGGCCTCTGAGGGGAATCGATTTTTGAGTCGACTCAAAAATCGGCCTCTGAGGGGAATCGCACGAAGCCGTACCCCTCGGTGCGCCCACCCACTCACATTGTCCACCACCACCTGTTGAACAGGGGGGAAGGCGAGGAGGGGAACAGCGGCAGGGAGAGGGGAAAGTGGGGAGAAGGGGTACGACAGAGGAAGGGGGGAAGACTTCTGAGGAGAATCGCACGAATCCATACCATATCCCTTGGTGCGCCCACTCACATTGTCCACCACTACTTGATGCCGGGAAGAGGAGAAAGGAGAGGCAAGCAGCACAATGTCTCACAGAGCAGAGCAGGTAACCGTTCACAATGCCTCACAATGTCTACAGCTAGGTCCCATTCCTTCCCCCGCGACAAACCCTCGCCTTCCCCGTTCCTCGCCCCACCCTCTTGGCACCACCTCACCTTGCCCCTCAACTTATACCCGAAGCTCAAACCCAGAACCCTACCCCCCTCCCCTACTCCGCACTCACCCCTCTCCTCACCTTGGCGTTTATAACAGAGCCGTAGCAGCAGCGGGCGGGAGGTCTATCAAAGCAAAAACCTTAAGCCCGAACCCTAGATCGCAGACCTGAAACCCTTCTCCTGCTCTCACCTTGGCGCCTCTCACGGAGCCGTAGCGGCAGCGGAAGGTTTCACAGAGCAGACAACCATTCACGCCTGAAGCCCTTAAACCTCAAACCCGAATTGCTAAGCCCCGAATCGTCTTGACCGTACTCACCTTGGCGCCTCTCACTGAGCCGTAGCGGCAGCGGAAGGTCTCGCAGAGCAGATAGTCGTTGACGTCTGGGGCTAGGTCGCCCACGAATATGGAGAACTCCTGCCCGTCCGCTGGGCGGCCGCCACTGATATGGGGAGAGGTGGAGGGGATGTGGGGGAGAGGGTGATGCGGGGAGGTCAGACAGGAAGCAGATCCAGGCCCAAGGTCAAGGTCTCGCAGAGCAGATAGTCGTTGACGTCTGGAGCGAGGTCGCCCACGAATATGGAAAACTCCTGCCCGTCCGCTGGTCGGCCGCCACTGGTATAGTATGGAGCGGGGAGGGATGTAGAGGGATGTGGAGGGATGTGGAGGGATGTGGAGGGATGTGATGGGGGGTGAGCAGAGCAGATAGTCATTCACGTCCACAGAATGAAGTGTTTACGAAACAAGGAGCGACTGCGACGGGGAAGGGTAACAGAATGCCCAGGCCCAGCAGAGCCTCTCTCTCTCCCCAGCAGAGCCTCTCTCTCTCCCCAGCAGAGCCTCTCTCTCTCCCCAGCAGAGCCTCTCTCTCTCGCACTGGCACCGTTGATTTCTCCTCGCCTCTTTCTCTCCCCTGCTTCCCCACCCACCGCTCCTCCCTCCCTCCTCGCTCTTCTCATCCCTTCTCTAGACCATCCACTGCTCCCAAACCCCTTATTTTCGGTGCATAACGCAGCACAGTTGATGCGGAACGGCTGCTGTTCTGCTCCGTCTGAGGCATGGGCGTGCCCTGGTAGGCCGCTAGCGCCTGCTGTGTTGTGAAGAACTATGACCCCAACACTCGCCTCATCCATACCCAACGCAATTCCACATCCCTGTCCCCCCTCCTCACCCTTTTTCCCGGCACCAAACGCGGCCCAGTTGATACGGAACGGCTGCTGTTCTGCTCCGCCTGAGGCAAGGGCGTGTCCTGGTAAGCCGCTAGCGCCTGCTGACCAAGTGCCTCTGCCCACGCACCACCCCAACCCACCCACGCCCCACGCCTCCCCACCCTTCCGCCACGCACACCCCAACCTTCCCTCATGCATTCCCCACCCACAACCACATTCCCTCCCAGCACACACGCTCACCCCTTCTCGCCCGCGCCAAAGGCAGCCCAGTTGATGCGGAACGGCTGCTGCTCGGCCTGAGGCATGGGCGTGCCCTGGTAGGCCGCTAGCGCCTGCTGCTCTCCCAAGGGATTCTTCCCCACCCACACCACACTCATCCCTCCACACTCACCCCTTATCCCCAGCGCCGAACGCGGCCCAGTTGATGCGGAAGGGTTGCTGCTCCGCCTGAGGCATGGGCGTGCCCTGGTAGGTCGCTAGCGCCTGCTGCGCTGCTGCATGCGTCGTGAACTCCACGAACCCGTACCCCTCGGGCTGCCCTGTTGCCCTATTGCGAATAATTTTCGCGTTTGCAACCTGCGGGGGTGGGCGGGGGGGTGGGGGGGATGGGGGAAGGGAAGGTCATTAGCGCTCACTGCGCTGCCGCATGAATTGTGAAATCTACGAACCCGCACCCCTCGGGCTGCCCTGTTGCCCTATTGCGAATTATCTTAGCATTTGCAACCAAAGGGAATGGACAGGGGGGGAGTAGCATGGTAAAGGGGGGGAAGGGGGGGGGAAAGCGGGATTGGGGGGGATAACTTTACTAGCTTTTACTCCGCCGGCTGCCCGTCGCCCTGATTTGAATAATCCATACATCCCCAAAAATCAGATAATATCAGGTTTTGCAAGCGTTGCGAAAGAAAAGTATCGTCCGTCCAACTTTGCAGATCGTTGCGAGAGATTCTAAAACGCTTGGACACCTAAAGACCTCGTACTGGGCGGAAAAGGTAAGCCTCGTCCATTGTACCAATCCTTTTCTTTCTCTCTTTCTTTCTTTCCAAATCGTTTGTAACGGTCGATAACGAGCAACGACTGGAGCCGCCAGTGGAACGAAAAGTCTCATCGATGGAACGCGTTGAAAAGAATACGCCTCGACCATCCAGTAATGGAGGTCGCTAAGAGAACGATCCTTCATTTACGACAATTTATCGCTTAAAACACCCATTGACCTCGCTTGTGGACGCGTCCATCCGTTACTGCTAAATCTTAAAATTACCCGATATTTCTAGCCGTCAATGGCACGCCAACTGACCTGGCCCGTGGACGCGAACGCGTTCCATAGGTAGTCTCGTCCATCCAGTACTGTAGGTCTCTAGTAAGGAATATAATCGAATTGGGAACAATCGTTTGCTTAACCTAAACACCGACGGACCTGGCCCGTGGACGCGAACGCGTTCCATAGGTAAGTCTCGTCCATCCAGTACTGCAGATCGCCCACCCACAACGTCCGGGGCTCATCCGCTCCGCCTGCGCCGGCGCCGGCGCCGGCCGCGGCTTGCGCTCCCCCCCATTGGCCCGCGGCGGGTGCAGGCTGCATGCTGGCGTTCCGCGTACGAGCGAGGTACGACGATGGGACGAAGAGGGTGAGGAGATCCAGACACAACAGTCGATAAGTATCTCCAAAAAGACCCTAATCCTGTAAATATCAGGGAGACAAGGCCGTTGAAGCAGGAAAGTCTGTTCTCGTTATTGAAGTACTCCTTTGTCCGACCTTTCCTCCCTTTCAAAGTCTCCGTCTAAATTTTGCTCATCTCTAACAAAACTTAATTGGTGTGGTAAGTCCATTGAACCTCTATAATGCAACAATTGCAGAAGGTAGATCAATATTCGTAAGGTCCAACGAAGTGCAGCTTTCATGCTCTACAATAAGGGATACAACACACTCCTGAATCTAAAACTAGCAATAAATTCGATTAATCACCCAATCTCACGTACCCCCGATCGATTAATTAATCCCCTGATTCAGCTGCACTTCCTTGGACCTCAAGTGTACCTTGCATTCTCCACCCACTACACTACAACCCCGTTTGTAGCAGCCTCAGCTGCCCCATCAACAACCGCCTTGTCAGCATCTACACCTTTCCGCGCATACGATCGTCGATACAAATCATCCACCCGCGTGAGGTAGTAGGTGCCGGGCTGCAGGCGGTCCGTGGGGGTAGCTGGAGTGAAGGAGCATGCACCATACCGTGATTCCATCAGATGCATTGTCTTCACGAACTCCTCTGGTGTTACCTGGTAACAGGAGACAAGCAGGCAGCGAAGGGGCATGTGCGTGTGAGTGGAGTGACAATGTAGGCAAGGCACGTGTGTTGGTGTCATGTTCAGCAGTGAATTTGCCTTGAAAAAACTAGCCAGAACAAAAACCCAAATTGTTGCGAGATTCCAGCAGTTGGTGCACATCCGGTTTTGTGCACACTGGAACAGTCACCACCCACCTACCCACCCACATTACCACCATCACCCACCTTGGTGCGAGACTCCAGCAGCTGGTGCACGTCCAGATGAGCAGCGAGTGTGGCGAGGGAGAAGGGTTCAGCCGCTTGGCGCACGGTCAGCGAGAAGAGAGTCGACATGAGGCCAGAGCCATACGAGAAGAGCAGAATGCGACGGCCCTCCTGATGGGGGTAGGGTGAAAAATGGGAAAGTAGAGGGGAAGAGGAAAGTGTGGTGAGTGAGATGGGCTCAACAGCACCGCGCACGGTAAGTGAGAAAAGCGTGGACATGAGGCCAGAGCCGTACGAGAAGAGCAGAACGCGATGGCCCTCCTGATGGGGGTGGAGAGGGGACAAGAGGAAGGGAGAGGCGAAAGTGAAAGGGTGGAAGAGGGAGAAGAGCGTTGACATGAGGCCAGAGCCGTAGGATAAGAGCAATATGTGAAGGGCCTCCCGGCGTGAGCAGACACCATAGAGCGAGGCACAGGACATATTGCCCACACACACCGTCATTACCAGCACTACCAGTTCTACCCGTGCTATCAATCCTGCCACCACTAGTGTCTCTAGCAACATGTGTGCTCCCATGCCTAGAGCCACCACGCGTACCAGTTGCTGCCCTTGCTGTGTGAGCAGGGAGGCGAGACTGCCATAGGCGCAGTACATGTTGCCCACACGCTTGAGTGCCCACTGTGAGTGCTTATGGGTGCTCACAATGAGTGCTCCTACCACAACAGCCACCACAAGAACCACCATGCATACCAGTTGCTGCCCCTGCTGTGCGAGCAGGGATGCGAGGCTGCCATAGAGCGAGGCGCAGTACATGTTGCCCACCCGCTTGCCCACGAGCGTGGAGGGGCCCACCTTGCTGCTGTACACCGGCCCTGCCACCCGCATGGCCGCCTGTACACAGAAGGCACATGGGCACAGGGAGACAGGGAGTTAGGGGCACAGGAACACAGGCGTGAAGGCACGAGCTAGGCTGGCTGACTCAGCGCTTGCCCACGAGAGTGGAGGGGCCCACCTTGCTGCTGTACACCGGCCCTGCCACCCGCATGGCCGCCTGTATGCAGGGGGCCAGAAAAACGGGCACAGCGGCTCAGGGGCACAGGGGCACGGGTGTGGAGAGACGGAAGGTAAAGAAAGCAGGCTTAGTCACAGGCGGTACAAGTGTCCCTGCGCTCTATCTGCCAAGTAGCACCTTCCCCAAGCAAGTCTACAGCATGCAAGCGGCTCACCTTCTTCCAGGCCTCTGTCCACGAGGCTCTTCTCTAATCCTATCCATCCAAAAGTGCTCCAATAAGAGCCCATGCGCTCATGCCTTCACCGGGAAGAGTGAAACCACAGCATGCGAGCAGCTCACCTTCTCCAAGTCTCTATCCACGAGGCTCTTCTCCTCCTCGAGCCCCACAAACGGCTGCAGTGCCTCCGCCTCCCCTGCACCCAGATACGCACTGCATGGGCGAAAAAAGCACAGGATGAGTGGGAGGAAGGGCAGAGGAGAAACAGGGGACATGTAACATGAGTTCTTGTTCCTGCCCTCACTGCCCTCGCAGTTTCTCTATGCCCTACCCATATGTCCACCTGTTCACTCCTTTCGACATGACATAAAGCACCAGCCATCGGAGGCTTTTCTGCGGCTGAAGCCCCCACTCTCTTGGGCATCTTGCAACCTACGCCCATTCCCCACAATGCCGGTTCCCCCTTGCGCCCATCCCCTCCACCCTGCGACTATGCCCTGGCCCGTAGATGCTACACATACTACAGCCCTTTGTGCTTGCGTACCTGCTCACTCCTCTCCTCTCATCGTTGAACACCAGCCGTGCCAGGCTCTTCTGCCCCTTAGCCAGCCTCTATGCTACTTTTCCATTGCCCCTGTCGCCCTTGCGCTCCAGTCGCCCCTACAAACCACAGCCCTTTGTGCTTGCGTACCTGCTCACTCCCCTCTTCACATCGTTGAACACCAGCCGTGCCAGGCTCTTCTGCACCAGCTGAAAGACGCAGGGAGGCGGGCAGGTGGAAGGGGGGAAGGGGAAAGGGGGGGGGGTGTGTTAGCAGAAGCATAGGGCTTGACATGATAATAAAATTCACATTCGTCCTATGATTCTATTGTGAGGGACATAAAGTCTGCACCTACATCTGATGGTGAGTTAAGTGTGTAAGCCTGCCTGCTTACCAAAGCACAAGGATATGAAAGTTGCCGTACCTTGTTGTACGGCGAGTGGAAGACCACGGATTCAGTGTCAGCCAGTGAGAACGCAGCGCCATGCTTCTTGGCATACCTGCAGCACAGCACGCAGGCAACAAAATGTCGTATAGGTTTAGGGTTTCGGATTTCGGGTTTCGGGTTTTGGGTTGGGGGGGGAAGAGTAATCATGATTCACAAATTAACAAAAAAAGCGGGGGAATGAAGGGGGGGGGGGTTGGGGGAGGTGGGGGGATGGTCGGGGGTGCAAACGAATGAGAGAGTGCTGATTATTCAGAGGAATTAAAGAGGCGGAGAACATACTTTTCACAGAAGCGTTGGTAGCAGTGGTCAAGCGCCTTGGTGTAGCAAGTCTGAGACAGCTTCCCGTCCACCACCTGCCCTCACACATGTACACAAAAAGGGAGGGAGAGGGGGCAGGGAGGGTGCTCAGGGAGTAAAACTTAGTGGTATTCTCAGTAACAAAATTTTACGCACTCCGACACCCAAACACCACCCACATGCACACAAACATGCTTCACAATGTCCTTTTAAGGCCTCTCTTTTCAAGGCCCCTTAAACTGCAGCGCCCATGTCCCCCCCCCCACTTGCCTCATCCACTGAATCGTTACAAAACAGAAAAATCTGCAAAATAACTCACAGGGTACTCGCTGGCGAGCTTGGGCTTGTAAAAGTCGTATGCATGCGCGGCATAGCTGCCCGCCAGCCCACTCTCGAATGCCAGAGGCGCGTCTGGTCCCACCAGCATCGCCACTGCACCTGCTCCCCCTGTGGGCCGCGCTGGACCCTCTGCGTACACCTGCATTGAGGGTTCAGGGTTCGGGGTTTGGGGTTGGGGGTGAATATATGCGCCATGTTTCCATGGCACGGATACAGCAACCCGTGAGCCAGAACGAGCACCCAACTTCCCATATACCATAGCCCATTCCTCTCATTTAAGGAATCAGAGCCTCTCTCTCCCCAATCATCCCACATTCCACATTCCACATAAGTCTCTTCACACAGTGATTACAGCACCCATGATCCCCCCACCACTCACAGAGCTGTCAACAGCCACAACGATGGCAAGACGGCCGTCCCACGACGAGCCCTCCACCCAGTTGACACTTTTCAGCAGGAGAACCAAGACCCTAGCACCTTTGATTCGCCTAAAAATCACTCACAGCGCTGTCAACAGCAACAACGATGGCAAAGCTTCCGTCCCAATAAGTTTCTTCCACCCAGCTGTAACTTTTCAGCAGGAGAACCATAACCCCCAAGCACGTTTGAGTCGCCTCAAGAATACTCACAGCGCTGTCAACGGCAACAACGATGGCAAAACGGCCGTCCCACGACGACCCCTCCACCCAGTTGACGCTGTTCAGCAGCGCCGCCGTGCCACCGTAGCACGCGTTGCACGAATCAACACCCTCCACGTCAGCGTTGCCGCTGGCCTCGAAGAGAGTCATGATGGCAGTCTTAATGGACTTGCTCTTGTCGATCACCGTCTCTGTGCCCACCTCCAGCCGCCCTATGCGGGTTGGATCCAACCCGTTCTGCTCTAGCAACCGCTGGACAACAGTCAGGCTGCATTGGTGGGGAGGGAGAGCGAAAGGAGTCATTTACTGTCTCTGTGCCCACCTCCAGCCGCCCTATGCGCAATGCGTCTATGCCGTTCATCTCTATAAGCCGTTGAACAGCAGTCAGACTGCATTGCCGGGGTGGGGGGAGAGGAGAGAGGAGAGCGCATAGAGCCTGTCTTTCGGTTACATCAGCGTGTGGGAGATTCGTTTTTGTCGATCACTGTCTCCATACCTACCTGTTGATGTGTCTATGCTGTTCTTTGTTAACGGTTTTCAAATTCGCCTCGTGTTCGTTCTTGAATGCACCAGGACTAGATTAAAGATTACATCCCATAGTGATAAAACGCACCTCGTGGAGATGAAGCGCACCTCATGGAGATGACATCTTCCTGGTCGCAGCAGAACCCGAGCTCGTCCTGCCCCAGCCCGATGGTGTACTTGCCCGCACTCACGCCGTCGTGCACCTCCAACTCCGTCTGCATTTGCGAAATTGCGATCACACGTTTTGGATCGATCAGGCATACGCGATAAAAGCGGTTCACGCTAATACGTGGAGTAATAGACTCGGGACGCATTACGCAGGAACAACGAACTCGAGGCAGCGACAGACTAGAATGGTGAACTCGAGGCGTTATCGTGGCAACCAATGCAGAAAGTTGTTTCTCTTGTGATGACGACGGGTGTTGTGAAGTGATGCATGGACTAGGGACGTCTGCAAATATTACCTAAAATGAATTGACGAACAACGAGATGAGATACGAGATTCAGGAAATAAGAGATGTAGCGACCTGGGAGACGAAGCTGGGTGGGACGTAGAGCTCCATGGCGAGGATGCCGACATTCTGAGGACGCGACGCCATAAGCTGTGAGCGAAAGGGACTAAATTCTGGTCCGGAAAGTGAATTGCGAAAAAAACAATGGCTTGATGGAGGAACAGCTGGCTACTCGAGAAGAGAAGGAGTAATAGAAGCCAGACAAGCCTGATGAAAGCAGACGGAGATGACGCGGTGAGCTGACGTGAAGTGAAGTGAAGTGGAATAATTGCAGATCGCCAAATTCAGCGGTCTTTATCTGCCGTGAGGAAAATCAGTCTTCTATTCTTCCTAGACTGAGAATCCCGAGGAAAATCAACGGATGCACGATCGATTGCGTGAACGACGAGTGACGATGAAAACCAGTCTCCAGATTTCACACTGTAACAGGTTCGGCGACGGCTTTCCACCAATCAGCTGCTGCGAATAAAGCACCGAGGCCTAGGTGTCACCGCAAGAAGAGCTTTTTGTTGACAGTGTGGGTGTCGGTGAAACAACTGGGCTAGGTATTGCCAGGGGATTTGTACTCGTTTCAGACTCACCTAATAAAGAATACTATCAGCATAATTTTCCAGAACAAAAAGTTCAACAACGCACATACTCAGCAAAGCGGATGTCATGAGCCCATGCCCAAACATCCGATTTCTGCGGTGTATGTAAACCGTGTTACTCGCACGAAGAAGCAGCGGGAAAGAACCCTGAGCGAATTGGGGACGAACGAAAAAGAACGAAGGACGAACGAGCATGCGACGTCAACAGATGGTAACTCTAGGTTGTGCCCAAACGTCTCTCTGGTCAAGTCTGTTTCTTGCCCACAGCAGCACAAAAGCAAGAAAAGCGGACATATGTTGCTCAAATAGGTCTGTTGTTAGTTGACGAGGTGACCTTGTTCTACTTTCTTGGTTTCAGGCAGGTCAACCTTGTCATCGTCTTCTCGCCGATATCTTGACTTCAACCATGCAGCTTTTCCTGAGAGGTCCTGGGCCTGAGTCGCACATAATTCCACTCACGATTTCCCCCAATTCGTCTCTTCAAACGTTGATAGATCTCTCCTTGTCAACCTTTTGTTGCGGCGAGACCCTAAGCTTGGAGCCCTCACGTCATGGGGGCTGCGTCGGCTGTTCGTCCAATTCTTTCCGTGTGCTTCACGGAGGTCGTCAGCTTTTCCCTTTCGCGTCGTCTCGTCACCGCTTATCCAGCGTAGCGTCCCTCAGTGTCCGTCCGTACGATACCCTAGATGTAACGGTACCCTTGCGAGGCGGAGGTGGTGATGGTGGGGCCACGGGAGCTGAGTCGCGTGATTGCTACCTGCAGATGTACGCTGGTCGCCGTCCGGATAAGGTGGACCCGCGTGACACACGCGTGGCGAGCTGGACGCACTGCCATCTGTCAGGCGAGCCGCTGACTCCTCCTTGTGTGGTGGACCTTCTGGGAAACGTATTCAACAAGGAAGCTGTGGTGCGCGCCTTAGTGGAGAAGAGCATTCCCGTTGCGCTGAAGCACATCAAGGGGTTGAGGGATGTCGTTGGGATTCAGCTGACGGAAATTCCAGGGCTTGACAAGAAGGCTCATGTCAGGTATGCGGTGGAGGGTGTGTAAGGTCTGGTGACGGACCCACCATATCCTTGTGGGTAGATTCAGGGAGTTGTGTTTTTGCTGACAGTAACAGGGGCATAATATGCTTGCGTGTGATTGCGCATGTAGCTGTGTTGGTCCTACAAGTCGTTTCCTTGGATTCGCGGGCACCACTTTATGTTGCCCCCGTCCTCACTTACATATTCGTGTATTGCAGGTTCCATTGTCCGATCACTCAGCAGGAGTTCAGTGGCAGCTTCAAGTTTGTCGCCCTTCGCCCCTGTGGACATGTGCTTAGTGCTCGTGCACTCAAGGAACTGCCCTCCTCAACGTGTCTCGTCTGTCATGCCAAGTTTCTGGAATCGGATCAGATTCCAATTAACGGTACTGAGGAGGAAGTGGATGTTTTGCGCACTCGGATGGAAGAAGAACAAGCTTCCAGGCGTGCTGGGAAGAAGAAAAAAGGTGCTCCTCCTGCCTCTCAGGTTGATGTGGTTGCTACAGGGAACGATCTGAAGGGAGCTGCAGTGGGGGCTGTTGATGGGATGGCAGTGGTGGATGTCAGAGCAAGAAGCTTGGAAAAGAAAAGCATCGCAGCAGGGGTGGCAGCAGCTGGTAGTCTGAGCCTTGAAGACAAAGCAATTGATGCAGGGGGTTTGGCTGATAAGCGAGGAGTCAAAAGGAAAGCAGCAGAAGGACCTCTGGCAAGAATGAAGAACACACCAGAAGGCGCTGGCAACAAAGCAAGACCGAAAGGGTCGGATTTGGTCCAGGTCAAGCAGCATTTCAAAGCAGTGGACAGGCTACCAGCTGGTGCAAGTAAAGATGTCTACGCATCAATCTTCACTTCGTCGCGAAAAGAAGATCTGAAGGAGACTTACTCATGCAGGTCTTTGCCCCTTGGGAGGAACTGATTGCAATTATTGTATGACAAGCTGAGTCTCACCAGTTCTTGCTACTAGATCCATTCTGCTTTGTATCTACACAACATTAAGCCCTCTAATGGATGGTACTGCTGGTGTTGTTGTTCACCTGGTTCTTATCCTTCCTTTCTTAACTTCCATACAAATTGTTGCTGGCTTACATTTGCCCTAGTGTCCCCTTTGCCTGAATTTGACACCCCATCCTATCTACCGTACTTGGATAACCTGGCCTTGCACACAGAAGTGCTTATTGATAGTCTCCTCATTCTTTGATGTGGTACATTTCTTTATGCAAGCTGGGGTCCTGCTGAGAGGATCTGCTGAGCCAGGGTGGTATCCACACCAGACATGCTCTCCGTGAATTTGGAAAAGTTCGCGTTGAAAAGGCCCCCAAGCTTCGTCAGAGTTGAGTTGTAAGCACCCTTGTCGGTCCACTGTTCAGCCAACATCACATATTTGGTTGTGAGAACGAGGTGCAGAGCAAAGTGAAATCAGTTGAAAGGGTGGATAGTCTACTCACCATGTTCTGTGGCTCAAGAATCTCCTGAGGCACACCATCAACATGGTCTGGGACTTGAAGGCCAAATATTGGAGTCGGCTTATATGTAGCAGATCCAAGAGACCCATTGTGGATCGCATCGATAATCTTCCTCGTATATGCCAGCTTCATCCTGCTTCCCACGCCGTAGCTGCCTCCCGACCACCCCGTGTTCACAAGCCATGCACTAGTTCCATTCTCGTGCATCCTCTGAGCAAGCATACCCGCATACTTTATGGGATGCCACATGATGAACGCAGCCCCGAAACATGCGGAGAAAGTCGCCTGCGGTTCCTTAATACCCTCTTCAGTTCCAGCGACCTGCTAAGTAGAAGGTGCATCAGTCACACAGCATTCAGAAAGAGAAACTCTCCAAACATGAACGGGTTCTCAGAGTGGCCAAAAGGTGAGACCCACCAGAGCAGTGTATCCACTAATAAAGTGGTACATGGTTTGGGGAAGGGTCAGCTTGCTGACAGGAGGAAGGACTCCGAATGCATCACAGGCCAGCAAAATGACATTTCTTGGGTGGGGTCCAACACAGGGAATCTTAGCGTTTGGAATATACTCGATAGGGTATGCAGCACGGGTGTTTTCTGTGAGTATCAGCATGTTAGTGGATGACGTCATCAACAAGAGCAAAACAAGACACACATACCAGTCACAGACTTGTCTGCATAGTCAACCACCCTGGTGTGGCTGTCAAACACGACGTTCTCCAGGACTGCAGAAGACAAGAGTCAGGAGTTGAAGAACGGCCAAAGAGCAAACACACCAGCAGAATACCTGTTCCAAACTTGATTGCGTTAAATATCTCTGGTTCCTTCTCGGGTGACAGGTCAATGCACTTTGCGTAGCACCCTCCTTCGATGTTCGATATACCATTGTCACTCCAGCAGTGCTCATCATCCCCAATCAGGTACCTCTCAGGATCAGTTGAGAGGGTAGTCTTTCCCGTTCCTATAAAAACAGCAGCGAAGTTAGTAGACCTATTCGTAAGAGAATGTTATACAGTAGGAGTACCAGGTCAACATACCTGAAAGGCCGAAGAACAGGGAGACGTCACCGCCCTTTCCCATGTTGCAGCCAGAATGAAGTGAGAGTATTCCTCTCTTTGGCATCAAATAGTGCATAAACCCAAAGAGGCCCTTCTTCATCTCGCCTGCATACTGAGTTCCGAGAATAACCATTTCCCTCCTCTTCAGGTTGATGTCAATGCTGGTCGACGAGGTCATGTAGTGAGTGAAACGGTTGCATGGAAACTTTCCGCCATTATAGATGGTGAAGTCAGGTTCACCAAAGGTTTCCAGCTCCTCGGGAGTAGGCCGGATGCACCTGAGTTGTTCAATGCATTAGATAGGAAACCTTTACCTTCTTGAGATTGAGACAAATTGGCAAGATCCTTACATGTTGTGCATGAAGAGAGCGTGATAAGCACGAGAGGTAATTATTCTGACCTTGACCCTGTTGTCCTTGTCCCAGTTCAAAAACTGGTCGTTCACGAAGACCTGCATCAAAACGAGTACTGAGCATCTCATCCATGCGATCAGAGGTGTTACATGAAAGAAGCATACCTTATCCAGAGACTTAAGATAGTCAACAGCACGTTCGCGGTTGATATAGAATGTCTCTTCGTCCATCTCAATGTTTGGAGAACCCCTGTGAAAACGTGATGTGCTCAGACGCATTCACCGCAAGTGGAAGAAAGGAAAACGAAACAGGCACGTACTTTCCCCACCACAGGTCATCCTGTGAGGTCTCTTCCTTCACGATGCGCTTGTCCTTAGGAGAACGCCCTGTCTTCGCTCCAGAGAGAGTAGCAAGCGCTCCAGTTGACGTGATGTACGTCCCCTTTTCATCCTTGATCGCGAGCTCGTAAAGCTCTGTTCAAGGAGTGTGTCTGAAATTTTTGCAAATCCAAAACAGTGCGGAACTGGTCAGTGCGATAACTACCTGCTTGTGAAAGATTGTGAAGTACGTGGGTCGCTTTGAGGTTAAAATCGCTGACGTAGTCAGACGGAACGAAATGCACGTGACCATCCTTAGTAACAGCGGTGTTCGGATCCCCCTTGATGACGTTTGGACCCCGCTCTCGCGCGTGAGACGCTAAGGAGGCACTGAAAGGACTTTGATGTTAGAAATCTCAGTTAATAGCTTGAGCATGCTGAGATGGCAAAAGCGTACCTGATTGACTCGGCGCCACCGCCTGGAACTGAAGTTGGCTTCTTTTGAAGAGAATGCAGCTCATCTAGTGATGTCGCACTGACTGGAGCAGACGAGTCATCGCAGCAGACATGCTTCTCGTGTCCAAGGAAAGCCATGGTTCTAACGGGGAAGGTGGAAAATGGGTAGGAAGTGAAAACTCGGATTGGAAAGCACCCGCCCAGCAAACCCCCTTTTCTAGGTGCCTGTCGGTGGGACCGAACCGCTCGTTCTGCGGACCCCAAACAATAGCACCTTCACTTGCTACAGTAAACCTGCATTAAGACCAAACAGAATTCCTCAATATCTTAACACCACCTCTAACACATTCTCCAACGTAGAAAAGTTGAGTTCTATACACAACGGAAAGGCAAACAATTTCCGAAACAAAAACAACTATACTCAGACTACCTACCCAGCATACTTTTGATAGTATCCTTCAATTATGGACCCATCAGCAAGCCTAGCATCCATCACAGTCTGGTTTCCCCGTACAAGATGACCATCCTTGCAGAACGTCACACCGCCTTCAGGTAAATGCAGTCGCTGGCAGAAGAGTGCAAACATGTTGCGCAGAGGAGCTGTAGTATTGATGTCATATGTCACTTCGTTGCCGTCCATCCGCACCTTGATCCTTCTGGTTTCTTGCCTCTGTACCTCAGCAGCAGCTCCTCTCTTTTCTCTCTCTGGTGCCTTCCCATGAGACCTCAAGGCCCAGCGACCAGCAGCTCTACTGTCGCTGCCTGTGATCTCTTTCCCAGCTGCTGCTGGCGACGTCGTCATCTCCTCTGCTGCTTTGTCCTCGGCAGAAATTGCTCGAGTTTCCAGCGCTGGTGATTGTTCCATTTCTTCCACGTTCTCGCCTCCTCCTCCCTCTGAGCCAGTTTCTTCCCCAAGAACCACATCAACAGGCCCTTCCGTAGCCTCATCCTCCCCCTTCAACTCTTCCTCCTCTCCCTGTATCCCCTCACGCTCAGTATTTGTTTCTGTTATTGAAATCTCCCTTCTCGTACCCTTCTTTCTCGCCTCGTCACTGGCATCCTGGCGTGCGGACGTGTCAACGAGCGAAGGAAGACCTTCAGACACGTCAGCAGGTGCCCCAAGAGCACGTCCGCCTCCAGACACAGGAACACCAGCAGCAATCGCTTCCGCTGCAGCAAACGCCGCATCCACCACGGCTGCAGGAAGGCCACGGGTACTGGACGGGGTGGCCGCAGCGGTTTCGGAACCTGAAACGGCCTCGGCTGTTGTCACGCTCACTTCGGTCGACTCCAGAACCACCGACGGTAGCTGCTGTGTTGCCTGTCGACGCTCGACTCCTCCTCCTCTTCCCCTCGCTGAAATTCCACGGCCTCTGCCAGGCTCTGCATAGCGGATCGCAGGCCGTGGCCTCAACGACCTGGTTACCGTTCGGGTAGTTCGGACTTGGATTCGTGCAGAAGCCTTTCCTCGAACCATGGCGACAGAAACGCAAGGGACGGCGTCGCTGGCGGCTGATATAAGAATTTACTTGCTCGATTCATCTAAGAATAAAAGTGGCACCATGTGAACGCGCACATACTGAATTGTTAGAGAACGGATGGCAATGGCAGTCACCCTGGACTTGCTGACAGCCATTCCTCAAACCCTCGTCTCCAAAATTGTGCACTTCTCGCTGACGTTCCAGTCCGGGTATCTCGAGACGCCATGGGCACAGGTTTGTGAGGGAGCAAGAAAGGACACGTGGGACTTCGGGGAACCGAAGGAGGCGCAGCGGGACGTGCAAACAAGCATGCATCACCTGGGTGACCCTTTGCTCTCGTGCGCGAAGGAGCTAATCGGGGTTTGGGATGTGCGTGCCTGTGTGGTGAGGAAGAGCCTTCCTGCAATACAAGATCTCATATATCGCGTACGTCAGTTCATGTATAACGCGGCAATTGACAATGGCATAGGCGGCAAGTGCAATAAGTTTAACTGAAAACATTTTCCCACTTTCATTTTATGAAGGTAAAACATGGGCAACGAGCGTGCAACACGGGGTGACCCTTTCGCTCTCGCGTGCGAAGCAGCAAATCGAGATTTGAGAAAGCCTGTCTGTGGGGTCGAGGAGTCGAGACCAGTCATTCGGGGAATTCAAGACAGGTGCCTGTATCGCGTACATTGCGTTGTGGAATCCACATTAGGTACGCATAGAAATGGAAAGCAGAAATAGAATTCCCATCTGTTGGATTTGATGATATGGTACAAACATGGCCTAACATGAGCTAGGATTGCCATTTAGCCAATGTGCAGACTACTACGTTTAGACGTCTTTTATTGAGGCGTGTTGCATTTACCGTTCTTGAAGGTGGTTGGGCGGTAAAAGAAGTTGGATTGGGTAGCGCTAGTTCCCAGGTTAATGTCATTCAGCTTTGTCAGACACCACAACACGCTCACTAGACTCTTTTTTAGATGAATCGCCAACCGGAGCCTCACTAGCTTCCTCATCCCGAAGGGCCTTGCGCAGGCCAAACACAATCAGGAGGTTCGTGATTGTGAGCAATGACTCGGCACTGCCGTGTAGGTAGTCTACATTAGATAGAGATGTCCCGTAGTGTATCTTGGCTGCATGGAACAATGCAACAATCAAACAGGCATCAAGACATGGTAAACACACAAACTTGGCACATGATAATCACACTACTCTGTATTCCAGGCAACAAGCTTCCATAACGTCCATATGCTACGGTGCTGCAAAGCATCCCACTCATACCACCCAATCAACCCAAAGAATGCACAGAGACAAGCAGCACCACACAACTAATTCTTTTCGGTAGTGACGACACACACAGGAGGGCGACAGGACCAAGGTGTGGCATTATACAGAGTAGAAATGAGCTCACCATATATTCCAGCAGGAACTGTCATTTGAGAGAAAAGGATTCCGAAGCATAGTTGAGCAAGTGGACAAGGTTGTAAGTTGGAAATGGAGGGGAGAGAGGCGGCAGGGAGGTGGAAGACGGGGGGGGGAAGAGAAAGGCAGCAAAGGAGATATTATTGGCAAGCGGCGGGAGCAAGTGACGGAACGCGTGGGATGGAGGAGGAGAGGAAGGAGGGAAGTTAATTGATGAGAGGCGAATAGGGAAAGAGAGTAAGGGACTGGAGTTGGAAGGGGGAAAAGGAGAGAGTGATGGGAAGAGGGAGAGGGAGGAAAAAGTGGGAGATATGGTGAGCACCTGTGGCGTGATACTTACAATGGTGTTGGGATAAATCATGCATGGAGATAACGGCAGTTTGCCAATGGAACAGCATGCAGCATGCCTATACAGCTCCTAAGAACCTAACAGCGTACGCATCAGTACCATTAACAATTGCGAGACAAAATTAGAAACCACCGCGCTCCTACACATGCGCTCATTTGTGCCTTCAATCGCTCGTACGAACGCGGGCAGAAGATACAGTCTATACAGCATACAGCTCCTACCACTAGCGCACTCGCTCGTGGCGCCGCAAATGCGGGTAGATGGTAGAGTTAAGAAAACCAGCTCTGAGTATACCATTTCGCTCAAAAGAACATGCCAAATGTGTCTGCTCCTAGAACCAAGGCACTCACTCGTGGCGCCGACGAATGCGAGCAGGAAGTAGAACCCGAACAGCGTGATGCGCGGGGCCGTGCCAGAGCGCGTGAGAAAGTAAAGGAATCCGAGGTACGGGAAGAGCGACACGGCGAAGAGCGACGACGCGATGCTCTGCGAGTCGATGTTGGGCGACCAGGGATCCACCGGGAGCAGAAACGCGCGTGAAACGACGGCTCCGCGCCGACTACACTCGGCGCTACGGGAAAATTCCGAAATGTTTCTATTTTGGTGACTGTGCTCGGGCGCTGGACTATGGAGCGGTACTCTCGAGAAACGGGTGACGCGCTGAGAGGTTCCAAGCGGTGAGGCACGAGGCCGGGTTACGAGGGGAGATGGGGGAGAGTCATGGCGGGTTGCTGTGAAAGCGGTGATTGAAATCCGAGCCGGTAATGCAGCGCGAGACGAGGGGGAACAGACTGAGCAGGGAATGCGGGTGGGAGAGAAGGCACTCAAGGAAGATAAGTTGGTCGGTGGCCGGGCCAGGAGGGCGCTTTCAGCCATGGCAGAACAAGGTCTTCACTGTACCTAGTCTCCTCAGGGGATGGAGGATTGCAGCTGAGGAAACTGAGCAATGTCGTGGAATGCCAGAGTTGAAGCAGGAGGGGGCAGAGCGTGGGATTGAGATTGCGTGACGAACTTGTATCGACTTTCCGCATTAAGGTGTAGCGAAAAATACAATCGGGTGTTCTTTCTGACGAGTACAGACATTTATCAGCAAACCAGTCCCCCTTGTCATCACTTCCCGCATACCTCCCTTCACTCCCACTCTACCTGGCCGTGTCGAAAGGCGCCCCACCAAGTTCCTAGGCTGCGTACGATTGACGAGCCAGAGTTCCCGGAAGCATGACACAGCTGCACACGTCAGCGGTCTAGAGAGCGTCAGGGAATGGTTCTCTAATGCGGTGTGCTAAGCGTCACCGCTTGACCCGTGCAAGCAGCCGAGGAATGCGGCAGGCCTTTTTTTAAAGAAGTCAAGTCGTACGGATATACAGGAAGATCGCTCAGCGTCGACCGAGCGTGATTGCCGGTAGGCCTTGGTTGGCAGTTTTTGCCGATAGGCCTTCAAGGAGAGTTTTGTTGCTTCTTGATATCGGCACTACGCTCGGGTCACGCTCTCTGTCATGGACGCCGAATCCAGTTCGCCTCTCTTCTACCGACACGTGGCGGCAGGAGCGGTTTCAGCCGTTGTAGCGAGTGCCGTCACATACCCCCTCGATGTCGCCAAGTCCGTCGCACAGGCGGGTGCCGCACAGGCCAGCGTCGCCCACGCGGTTGTCGCACAGACAGGCGCCGTGCAGGGCAGCGCGATCGCGGGGGGATCAGGGGGATCAGGGGGAGCATCGACTGGCGGATCGGCGAGAAGCGGAACAACAGCAGCGTCACGAGCAGCTGCTGCTACCAGCGGTCTCAACTGGAGAAGGAAAGGTAGCAGTCCAACTCTCAGTGTCCCCCATGTCCAACTCTCAGTGTCCCCCATGTCCAACTCTCAGTGTCCCCCATGTCCAACTCTCAGTGTCCCCCATGTCCAACTCTCAGTGTCCCCCATGTCCAACTCTCAGTGTCCCCCATGTCCAACTCTCAGTGTCCCCCATGTCCAACTCTCAGTGTCCCCCATGTCCAACTCTCAGTGTCCCCCATGTCCAACTCTCAGTGTCCCCCATGTCCAACTCTCAGTGTCCCCCATGTCCAACTCTCAGTGTCCCCCATGTCCAACTCTCAGTGTCCCCCATGTCCAACTCTCAGTGTCCCCCATGTCCAACTCTCAGTGTCCCCCATGTCCAACTCTCAGTGTCCCCCATGTCCAACTCTCAGTGTCCCCCATGTCCAACTCTCAGTGTCCCCCATGTCCAACTCTCAGTGTCCCCCATGTCCAACTCTCAGTGTCCCCCATGTCCAACTCTCAGTGTCCCCCATGTCCAACTCTCAGTGTCCCCCATGTCCAACTCTCAGTGTCCCCCATGTCCAACTCTCAGTGTCCCCCATGTCCAACTCTCAGTGTCCCCCATGTCCAACTCTCAGTGTCCCCCATGTCCAACTCTCAGTGTCCCCCATGTCCAACTCTCAGTGTCCCCCATGTCCAACTCTCAGTGTCCCCCATGTCCAACTCTCAGTGTCCCCCATGTCCAACTCTCAGTGTCCCCCATGTCCAACTCTCAGTGTCCCCCATGTCCAACTCTCAGTGTCCCCCATGTCCAACTCTCAGTGTCCCCCATGTCCAACTCTCAGTGTCCCCCATGTCCAACTCTCAGTGTCCCCCATGTCCAACTCTCAGTGTCCCCCATGTCCAACTCTCAGTGTCCCCCATGTCCAACTCTCAGTGTCCCCCATGTCCAACTCTCAGTGTCCCCCATGTCCAACTCTCAGTGTCCCCCATGTCCAACTCTCAGTGTCCCCCATGTCCAACTCTCAGTGTCCCCCATGTCCAACTCTCAGTGTCCCCCATGTCCAACTCTCAGTGTCCCCCATGTCCAACTCTCAGTGTCCCCCATGTCCAACTCTCAGTGTCCCCCATGTCCAACTCTCAGTGTCCCCCATGTCCAACTCTCAGTGTCCCCCATGTCCAACTCTCAGTGTCCCCCATGTCCTCATTTGCCTTCTTTCCTTATCCCTCCCCTCTCCCTTCTCCCCATCACCCCGCGTCCCCGACCCCTCCCCCACTCCCTCCCTCCTCTCCCTCGGTCTCTGCCGTTTTTTATTATTCCAGTCTCATTATGTTAACTTCTAGAATGAAGCAAAGACTCCTGAGGGAGAAGGCTCTACGCATTTGTTTGCCTGAGTTTTCTGCCTCTGCTCTTTCCGTCTACCCCTCTCCCTGCCAGCCGCATTCACGGGTTTCTCACCGCATATCGCGGGGCATCTGCCATCGCTAGCAGCCCGTTACACCACCTACCATCTCGCCGCCGCTTACCAAATGGGTGAGGCCACCTTCCTTACTTCCTGCCGTGCCATTCACATCGGATTCTCCTCGTTGTCTGCTAGTTAATCTAGGAACTCAGCTCACTCAACACGAGCATGGATCAACGCTGTTGAGCATAACGCTGTCTTTTTCTCCGTCAAGCAGCCGCAGCAGCCATTTTTTCCTTGAAAAGCAAGCCCATAACTCATAAAACAAGCCTTTGCTCTTCCCTCCCCTCCTTTCCCCCTCTGCACCCAGATGGTCTGCCCTCGTGGCTTCCCATCTCCCCCCCTCAAGCAGCATTAGCAGGAGCCATAGCCGGGGCGACTGAGTCCCTGCTCTTCACACCATTTGGCCTCCTTTATTGCTGATTTCGCCCATATCCTTTCCCTCCCCTTCCCCACCCCCCGCACACCCCAGATGGTCTGCCTTCTTGGCTGCCCATCTCCCCCCCTCAAGCAGCATTAGCAGGAGCCATAGCTGGTGCTACAGAGTCCCTGCTCTCCACACCATTCGACCTCATCAGAACCCGCCTGCTGCTCGCCACTCCCCTGCTGCCACCTGTCTCGCCCACCCACCCCATCTCCCTCCCCGGCCCCTCCATCCGCATCCACCGCCCCTCGTCTCCTTCCCAACCAACCTCTTCTTCTGTAGGAAACCCATCCCCCAGCCATACCTCCCCCAGTCAATCCGCCACCATTAATCAATCCTCCATCCCAAGTCAGAAGTCAAGGAGTGGCTCCTCTCTTTCAAAGCACAAGCTGCCCCACCCACTCACAAACAGGCAGACCAGCTCTCGTTCTAACCGTTCTGACCGCCCTCACCGCACAACTCACAAGCGCACCTTCGTTTCCTCCTCGTCCCCTCCTCCTCCCACCGCCCTCACCTCAGCTCAAACCCTACACCCAAGGCACCTCTCTGCATCCTTGCGCACCCCTCCCATCCCCCCCTCTTCCACCTCCCTACCGCCCACCACCTTCTCCCTCTCCCTCGCCCGTTACCCCTGGACCCCCGTCCCCTCGCCCTACCTCCCTGCCTCGTCTTCTTGGGAGGCCGCAAAGGCTGGAGTGAGGGCGGAGGGGGCAGCCCAGCTGTGGCGAGGCCTTAGAGCGGGCGTGACTAGAGATGCGCTTTTTGGAGCGGTGTTCTTTGGAGGGTGGGTGACTATAGAGGAAGGATTGAGGGAATTGGAGGAGCTCCGGCAGAGGAAGAGAGAGAGGGGTGGGGTGGAGGAAGGGGTGGAGGGGGGAGGGGTGGATGGTGGAGCCATGGAGAGGAGGAGTGCTGGGTATGGATATGCGTTGACCCAGAGTTTGGAAGCAGCGATAGCGGCGGCAGTGGCTTCAGTTGTGTCGCATCCGTTTGACTGTGCCAAGACCCGCACTCAAGCCACCGTCTTACCCAAGGTAAACGTTTGTTGACCTTTTCTTCTCTAATTGCTTGCTTGCTTGCATTCCATTCCAGTCCACGCTTTTGTTCGTCGATTGCTTTGCTCCACTATAAGCTTGTATCCATTCCATTCTTACATTTCTGTGAGCGTGTCGTGCATCCTCCCTGTGAATCCACCCAGCACGTGGCTATGGAGTTAGCGTTGGTGCGCAGGGGGAAGGATGGGAGGTGGTGGGAGAGATTGTCTGGCTTGCGGTGGTGGGATAGGAGCTACCACTGGCAAGGCTGGGCTCTGAGAACCATGCATCAATCGATAGGCGCGTTTCTTCTAGTAGGTGGTTACCATGTTGCAGTTGCGTTGACGAACAATTTTTCCGAGTAATGGCCCTTTTCATGATGTTTCCATTCACTTTGTAGGTTAAACATTTGAGATCCAAAGATCCAGTTGCTATTAGATCCTCTGCAGTTATTGCTTCTGGCGAAGTGGCCACAATCGCAACCCGTCCAGTCCAACTTTTACCATCTCCTCCAACCTCTATAAATTCGAGCCGCAAGGTTGCTCGACCATTAGGGTGAGCGGAATCGGCGGCCCAGATTCACCAGGCTTAGGTCGCCACAGAATTAGTCTGGTCAAGTACTGATCCTCGCCGCTTTGGATTGTTTTTAGGTATCGCACGCACTCATCAACGCTCCCGTTCAGCTGTAGAAACGTAAGGAACCGCTTCATTGCAGAAACTTGAGTTACAACCTCGTTACGAATTCGAAGAGATCTAAAAGCTTGAACGCGATAGACTCGAAATCAACTCGACGCAATCAACTCGACGCAATCAACTCGACGCGATAAACTAGAAGCACTCAACGAGTGGAGTGGCGATGGAGGCGTTGGAGAAGGTGGTAACGCAGGCGCAGGGCCTGTCGGGCAGCGCGAGCGACCTGTCGCACCTGCTGGAGGTGCTGCGCGGCGCGGAGGACGCGCTGTCGAAGCACGCGCTGCAGCTCGACACGCTGCTCGCGTCGCTCGACCCCGCGCTGCACTCGCTCGCCTTCCTCTTCTTTCTGTGAGTGTGTCTTCCGGGGGGGAGGATGGGGAGAAGGCGGGGAGTGGGATGGGGGAACGTGGGGACATGGAAGGGGATGAGGGGGTAACACAGATCCGCGCTGAACTGGCTCGCCTTCCTCTTCTTGCCCTGAGTCTGGAGAGGGAAAAGGAAGAAGTTATAGGGCGGAACGGCGGAAGGTGGGGCTGGGGGAGAGAAACAGACCCCGCGCTGCACTCGCATGCAGCACAGGCACCGGGCGAGTTGTGGGAGCAGGTGGGGAGGGGGGGGGGGGGGGGGGGGACGATGCGGTATCGAACATCAAGCACTGAAGAGCCATCTTGAGGCCGACGTTCCCCTCTTCCTGAAGGCACTGAAGGATTCTTCCTGGAAATTCCCCCGATCCTGTCCCACGTGTTGTGTCTTGTGTCCCTTCCCAGCAGCGATGCGCATGCAGCGCAAGCACCGGGCCAGTTGTGGGAGCAGGTGGTGGGGACAATGCGATTTCAACCATCAAATTCACCCTCCTCCCCTCTTCATCCCCACTTTCTCCCCTCCTCTTCCCCATTCCCTCCCCACCGCCCACTCCGCCCCCATCCCCCACCCCTACAGCGATGCACATGCAGCACAGGCACCGGGGCAGTTGTGGGAGCAGGTGGTGGGGACGATCATCAACTTCATTAAAGTGGCTTCTCCAACACAGATCGCGCTTGCTCCTGAAAAGTGTAAGAGCATGCACCTGTGCAGCAATAGCCGCATTCAGCACAGCAAATTCCCCCCGGGTTATTGAGTTGTGGGAGCAGGTGGTGGGGACGATCATCAACTTCATCAAAGTGGCCTCTCCCACGCAGCTCGCTCTCGCCCCTGAAAAGTGTGAGTATCTGTGGGCTTGCTAGTGGACTTAACTGTCCAAGTCGAATCAAAAGAAAGCTGACTTCTGAGTCGACTCAAAAGGTAAATCGCTCTCGCCCCTGAAAAGTGTGAGTATCTGTGGGTTTGCAAGTGGACTCTACTGTTCGAGTCGAATCAAGCAACTATGCAGCACAAGCGCCAGGCGATTGTGGGAGCAGGTGGTGCGGTGGGGTTGGGTGGGGTGGGATGGGTTGAGGGCGATCATCAACTTCATTAAAGTCGCTTCTCCAACGCAGCTCGCGCTCTCGCCAGAAAACTGTAAGAGAATTCACCTGTACAGCAGAGCCGCATGCAGCACAACAGCCGTTACAGCCCCCCCCCCCCCCCAACCCCCCCAAGCTATGGGAGCAGGTGGTGGGGACAGTCATCAACTTCATCAAGGTAGCTTCCCCCACTCAGGTCTCCCCTGCGCGCTTGAAAGTGCCGTCGCCATTGCCTGTGAGATCTCTCAATACCAGTGGCAAGCTGCAGGCAACCTTCTTCAGGTGTGCTCCCGTTGGAAGGAGCTCGAGCTCGAGCTGGCCATCAGCAAGGTGCAGCACAGCAGCAGCGCTGACCACCTCACCTCGCGAGGTGACGTCTGAGTTCACTCAAAAGTCTCCTAGCGCCAAGCTCGAGCTGGCCATCAGCAAGGTGCAGCACAGCAGCAGCGCTGACCACCTCACCTCGCGAGGTGACGTCTGAGTTCACTCAAAAGTCTCCTAGCGCCAAGCTCGAGCTGGCCATCAGCAAGGTGCAGCACAGCAGCAGTACCGACCACCTCACCTCACCTCACCCATCAACGCGCAGCAGATTGCCCGCAGCTCTGCCCGCAGCTCTGCCCGCAGCTCTGCCTGCTCCAATCAGCTCCTCTTTTCACCCTCTGCTCTGTTCCCTCTCCCTTCTCCTCTCCCATCCCTCCCGCCTCCCAGTCGCCTCACTGTGCCACCGCCTGCGCGATTTGCTCATCTCCCACTCCCAGTACTCTCCAGGCGTCCTGCCTCTACGCTGGGCGATCAGCAAGGTGCAGCAGTGCACCACAGCGGAGCACCTCACCCCGCAACACGCGGACTGCCTGCAGCCGTGCCTGCTCTAATTTAATCCCTCCGTTCCCCTCTCCCTTCTCTTTCCCCGTCCCTCCCGCCTCCCAGTCGCCTCCCTGTGCCACCGCCTGCGCGATTTACTCATCTCCCGCACGCAATACGCCCGAGGCGTCCTCCCCTTGCGCTGGGCGATCAGCAAGGTGCAGCAGAGCACCAGCACGGAGCACCTCACCCCGCAACACCCCGATTGCCTGCAGCTCTGCCTGCTCGCCAAGCTCTACCGCCAGGGAGGCGATCTGCTCATGTCTCATCTCCCACCTTGTCCGTTCTCCCCATGTCCCGTTTTCCCCCTCCCCCATACTCTCTCCCTCCCGTTTCTCCCAGTCGCCTCACTGTGCCACCGCCTGCGCGATTTGCTCATCTCCCGCTCGCAATACTCACGGGGGGTCCTCCCCTTGCGCTGGGCGATCAGCAAGGTGCAGCAGAGCACCACCGCGGAGCATCTGACTCCCCAACACGCGGACTGCCTGCAGCTCTGCCTGCTCGCCAAGCTCTACCGCCAGGGGGGCGACCTGCTGCAGGGGGATATTCTCGATATTGACCCCAAGAAAACGGGGCTAGTGCACAAAGACTTTCTTCTGTACTGCTTCTACGGGTAGGGATGATAGTGAATGGGTTCAAAGGACATTTACCATGGTGGGGATGATATCGAATGAGATGACATCCTTGTGCTTGCACTCTTTCCGAACTCCTTTTAGTCCCACTATCCGCACCTCGGTCTTTTCCTGTTCCATCCCACTCCATGCAGAGGCACCATCTATGTGGGTTTAAAGCTCTAGATGGGTTTGATACCAAAAGGCTCTAGCTAGACCCTTTCGTTCAGGCAACGTCTCTTTTACGTCTCCCTTGCCTACTTCCCCCCTACCCACCTCCGTCTCAGAGGCACCATCTATGTGGGTCTGAAGCAGTACCAGAAGGCTATAGACCTCTTCATGCATGTGAGTGTGGTTCGATGGCCGCTTCCGTATCCCTTTCTGCTGTCCCCATTGTGTCCTTGCCTCAGCATTCTCTGTCCCCCACTGTCCATCCCTCACTGTCTAGGCGTCCCTTCCAGTGAACAGACAATTCACCGTTCCCCATCTATGTATCCATTTATCTGCTTGTCAATCTCTCTCTGTATCCATCTGTCTACGCTAGGAAATGGCCCATGCATTGCGTTGCGTCATCGTAGTATCATCCCTCCTAGTATCATCCCTCTCCTGCACTGCCCTAAACCCACCTTCTCCCCCCTCTCCCCTCTCCCCTCTCCCCTCAAAACCCCCTTTTCCCCACTCCTCCCTCACCAGACCATCACATCCTCCCTCTCCTCCACTCCCCGGCCCAGAGGGAATGCCAACACAGTGGACGCTCCCTCTCCTCTACTCCCGGACCCGTCTCCGCCACTCCAATCAAAGCCCTCTTGCTTTCTCCCAACGTTTCCCCTGCTTCTCCCCACCTTTTCCCCCAAAACCCCCCCAGGCCATCACGTCTCCAGCACAGGTCGTGAATGCCATCACAGTGGCGGCATACAAGAGACACGTGCTTGTCTCGCTCATCCTGAACGCGCAGGTGGGTACAGTGTGACTCATTGCGGTGCAGTGCGGTGTGGTTTGCTGTACTGTGCTGTGCTGCTGTTTCCTGCTCGCCCGGGGAATGCCATCATAGTGAGGGCTTACAAGGTGCACGTGCTCGTGTTGCTCATCCTGCACGCACAGGTGTGTGATGCGGTGGCGTGTGGTGTGGTGGTGTGCGCCTTGTTGTGCCAGCAAGGTTGCTGCATCAGCAAGCAGACTTTGTGCTACTTAGACTTGTACTTGACTCAGACTCACCTTAGTAGTTAGTTAATTTTTGCTGGTTGTTAGTGGAATCTTGCAGGTCAACACTCAACACTCATCCCTCCCGTCGTTTCTGTCGCTCCCTATTCTCGCTCCCGTCCCTCTCTCCCTCCCCTCATGGCACCACGAGAGCAGCTGTCGCCTCTACCCAAGTTCACCCCAGGCATCGTGCAGAGAGGGTTCAAACAACTCCCATTCTCAATCCCTCCCCTTTCTCCCTCCATTCCATTCCCCCTCACTTTCTCCCTCCCCTCATGGTCCCACGAGAGCAGTTGTCACCTCTACCCAAGTTCACCCCGAGCATCGTGCAGAGGGGGCTCAAGGCGTGCTGCCAGGTGTGTGCAGAACGCCATGAATGAAATGTATAGATGAACATGTATACCATCACTTATGCCCACAGTGCACGTGGTGTTGACAGTCGTTTGTTGTGGCATATGGCCACAGCTCACCTCCCTTCGCCATTCCTCTCTACCCCTCTCTACCAATCTCCACCCCTCTTAGGACTACCACGATCTGGCGAATATCTACGTGTCTCGCGATGCAGCAGAGCTCAAGAAGTTTGTCAACTCCCACGAGCAAGCATTCAAGGCGGTGAGTGGGAGCTCACACCACATGCTCTGTTCTGCTGTGTGTCTGCATGCTATGCCACAAGAATACAGCAACTCACACTGCCACCATCGCTCTCATTCTCTCCTTATGTACTTTCATTCTCTCCCCTTCTCTCCCCCTCTTCCCCCTCTTCCCCCTCTTCCCCCTCTTCCCCCTCTTCCCCCTCTTCCCCTTCTCCCCCTCTTCCCCCTCTTCCCCCTCTTCCCCCTTCTCCCCCTCTTCCCCCTCTTCCTCTCAGGACAACAACCTGGGTCTGGCCCATCAGGTGGTTGCATCGGTCCCCAAGCGCAGCATTCAGCGCCTCACACTGCCACGATAACTCTCATTCCCCCCCTCGCATTCTCTCCTCTTTTTCCCTTCCCTCTCCCATACTCGCCCCTCCCCTTCCATCCCTTTTTTTCCTTTTGTTTCAGGACAACAATTTAGGCTTGGCCCATCAGGTGGTTGCATCGGTCCCCAAGCGCAGCATTCAGCGTCTCACGCACACCTACCTCACTCTCTCGCTCTCCGACCTTGCTCAGTCGGTGCACCTCTCTTCTCCTGCGGAGGCTGAGAAGTATCTCCTTTCCATGGTGAGTGGTTTCCAAGTTCATACACATTTCTTTTCATGGTAGGCTGAGAGGTGCAATTTTCGTCCATTATGAGCCCTGCAAGATGTTTGTTACCTTTTTTTGTGCGTTTTTGTTGTGCCTTTCTTTTGCTGTCTTCATCGGTCACTGTGTGCCCGGCAGATAGCGGACGGGGAGATGTTTGCGCGGATAGACCAGCAGGCGGGCATGGTGAGCTTTGGAGTCAATTGAAAGACCTCATGTGTGACTCTTCACCTCTCGTTGTGTGCCCGGCAGATAGCGGACGGGGAGATGTTTGCGCGGATAGACCAGCAGGCGGGCATGGTGAGCTTTGGAGTCAATTGAAAGGCCTCATGTGTGACTCTTCACCTCTCGCTGTGTGCCCGGCAGATTGCGGACGGGGAGATGTTTGCGAGGATAGACCAGCAGGCGGGCATGGTGAGCTTTGAGGAGGACCCTGAGAAGTACGACTCACTGGCCATGGCTGCTGTGGTGGAGGAGCATATCCAAAGGTGAGAGGCTCACGTCTAAAGGTGCACATTTAGTAGGAAGGGATTGCAGCAAGGGAATGGTTCTTGGTGTATTCGTCTATCTTGGAGCCACAGGCGTGACCCTGAGAAGTATGACTCGCTGGCCATGGCTGCTGTGGTGGAGGAGCATATCCAGAGGTGCGTTGATTGTGATGGGATGGGAGTGCAGCAATGGTTAGGCTCGTTGGTGTCTGTCTCTAGCTTGGAGGCTACAGTCATGACCCTGAGAAGTACGACTCGCTGGCCATGGCTGCTGTTGTGGAGGAGGAGCACATCCAGAGGTGCGATATCTCCACGAACCATGTGTGCTGCACTGTGAATTTCCCTCCATGCTTGCTTTATGAATGTGCAGGGCAATTAAACTGTCCAAGAAGTTGGCGCTGGTGCACGAGCAGATCTCCTCCGACCGAGCGTTCCTGTGTTTCTAGAACTTGACACAATGTGTGTGCTGCGTGTGTGGGTATGTGCAGGGCAACTAAACTGTCCAAGAAGCTGGCGCTGGTGCACGAGCAGATCTCCTCCGACCGAACATACCTCACACGGGTGTGTGCTCACTGCACTCTACTTAGTACGCAATGCTCACTGCTCACTGCACCCTACGTAGTGCACAATGCTCACTGCACACTCCTTAGTGCACACTGCACATCATCCCCCGCTCTGTTTCAAGCTCTTCAGTTGGTCTCGTGACTCTTGGATTATGCGGCCCACATGCACGTCACACTCATCATGGGGCGCTTTGATCCTCACTAAAGGCCTTTCTCTGTTTACTCCACTTTTTTGTTCAATCGATGGGTATCTTCCATCCCATGTGTGTTGTATTGCAGGTGCATGCACGCGAGCGTAATATTCGGTATGGAGAGCATGAGGATTATGAGCTTGCACCTCAACGCATGTTTGACACCATGTAGGAAGGATCCTTGTAGAGAAACTTAACTCTACATGCGTGTACTAAGATGTTAGGCACTTAATAGTTGAAGGACGGTCTTGAAAGAACAGGTTACCGTAATGCAGGCAGGGCGTTACTGTGAGGCTGTCCTGGTATTAACCAGTACGATTAACAGTTTCTGCAATAAAAATATAACATCAGGCCTGTTACTGGTGTACTGATATAAAAATGCCATAGAAGCCAGCCCGTTTGCCCAAATAGAACTGGCCTCCATGGCTCGCTGCTTTTCAAATCCCAGGGTGGCAGTAGGCGCTCTGTGATCGAATCCGTTGATGTCTCCGCGTCCCTTGCGCCTTGTTCAATCACGGCAACAATTCCCAAGGGATCGCCAACCATCATGCATGCAGAGTACCGTTTTCGCATTTCAAGGATCGAGTTGCAGGGTACTTCTTCACTCGAGCACGGCTTGCTTTTCCAAGTACGAGCAAGTAGCTCCTGCCGTTGTGCTCTGAGTCGTGTCTGCAGAGTATTGTCATACCATCCAGGCAAGATGCTTCCGCGGGGAGCAGCCATCGTGCCTGTGGCGATAGTGTCGGTCTGCGCTATCGCCCTTCTCATCCTTCATGGCCAACCTCTCCTCAGCCATCTCTTGGGAGACGATGGACCGATGAAGAAGCACATCGATACTGCCAAGGGTCATCTGGTGGTAGCGATGGTCAAAGGAAGGGAGGCTCGCATCAATTTTCTCTCTCCTGTCTTGCAAATTCTTGTGGGAGTTACTGCGTTCCTTTCCTCGCTGGTCGCTGCGGACCGTCTCTTCCACTTTTACGTCGCCTTGTACTGGAAGATCTCCAAGAAACGCCCAGAGGAAGCCTTCGAAGCGAACACCTTGCCAGATCCAGCTACCTGTCCCGAAGCCTTCCCCAAAGTTGTTGTTCAGATTCCTATGTTCAACGAGAAAGAGGTGAGGGCATGCATCACATCTGCTCTTACAGAACTGTATTCCAGCCACGTTGCGCATTGCCTGACGGTGCCTGCACCTTTCAGGTGTGCGAACAAGTAATCGACGCATGTTGCAAGCTCATATGGCCGAGATCGCGCCTGTACATTCAGATATTGGACGATTCAACTTGCCCCATCACTCGCAGCAGGGTGGTTAAGAAAGGTAACAGACCACTTCGCTATCATCCGCGTGTTCCCAAACGCACAAACTCATGTTGACCCGTCCCTCCTCCCGTGCAGTCGCTGAAAAGGTAGCTCTTGGAATTCACGTGGAGGATCGCTGGAGATCCAATCGGCAAGGATATAAAGCTGGAGCAATGATTGAGGCTGAGAAGGCACTTGGAGATTACGAATTCACTGCTATATTTGATGCAGACTTCAGCCCAGAGCCTGAATTCCTTCTTAAGACGATTCCGTATCTCATTGTAAGTCCTCAGACGCGTTAGCTTTGTTTCTTTCAGGCCAAGTCTTACCGTTTCGGCTACCCACAGGACAACCCGCGGGCTGCGTTTGTCCAAACACGCTGGGTGTTTGCCAATGCGGACGAGTCTGTCTTGACTCGAGTCCAAGAGATTTCACTCAACTATCACCTGAAGTGCGAACAGTATGCCAGATTTGCAACGGGCAACTTCTTCAATTTCAATGGTAGGCGACACATTGTCCATTTCTCTCACGAGCCTCAGTAACTAATCATTTAGCGTTTTTTTTGCTGCAGGAACGGCTGGAGTATGGAGGCTCTCTGCAATCAAGGATGCAGGCGGGTGGAATAACAGGACAACCGTTGAGGATATGGATCTTTCTCTACGAGCTTACGTTAAAGGCTGGAAATTTATATTCTTGAATGACGTAACGGTAAGCCAGCGTTCTTGCTCCACTCTATTTTCTGTGGTCTGAATGGTGTGACCCACATGCCCTCCTTTCCATGCCATTGTCATGTGTACAGTGTGTAAACGAGATTCCATCGACATATGCAGCTTTCAGGCACCAACAGCACCGCTGGAGCTGTGGACCAATGCAACTCTGGAGAAAAGCTATGGATCAAGTCTGGGAATCTGAGGTATGTATATCAGCAGCGGGCAGTTGTTTATCCTGACCGCAGTTGTACTAACTGTGTTCGCCCCTTCTCAGATTCCACTTGTTCAAAAGATTTACCTGAACTGCTTCTTCTTTGGAACAAGGTTGTTCGCCACCCATATTGTGTCGTTCGTATTCTACTGCACATTGGTGCCCATCTGTGTGGTGGCTCCAGAAGTGACAATCCCGTATTGGGCTTTGGTTTATGTGCCCATCCTGGTTACTATCTCCACGGTGGCTTTCACTCCAAGGTAAGCGTCATAACTGCAGCTGCTTTATTCATTTTCGTGTACTGTTCTAACAATCTTGGCTGCTCTTTTAGGTCGTGGCTGTACGCTGTACCTTTTGTTCTGTTTGAGAATGCCATGAGCATTGTCAAGTTCTCCGCAATGGTCTCCGGAATCTTGGGCCTATCTACGGCTCATTCATGGGTTGTAACCCAGAAGCTTGGGAAGTGGGTCCAGACTGATGCAGCAACTGCAAAGACAGGGCTGGCGAAGTATTTGGGGAAAGCTGGAGCCATTCCACATAGTCTGAGTCTTCCAGTCCTTTCTGAAGGTCTGGTGAAGCAAGGAGCTGATAAAGCCCAGCCCAAGAGTTCTAAGAGCTCTTGGTTCAACCGCACGTAAGTGAATGCTCCAAAGAGCAGACATTGCTTTTTGTATCCACGATATTTCCTAACCTTCTCATCTCTTCTTTCCTGCAGAATATACAAGAGGGAATTGGGTATGGCTGCCTTCATCTTCGGTGCAGGGATGTATGCGATCTTTGTGGAAGACCGCTGGGATTACTCTATCTTCCTCTTCCTGCAGAGCATTGCGTTCGCCATGTTTGGCTTGAACTTTGTGGACAGGACAAATTGATGCATCTTTCTTAGAACCTTGATAGTTCGTGGTGTTATCGATAGGAATTGTGGTACTGATACATGATTTAATATAAACGAAGGCAACATCAACTTATCAAAATGGCAACTACCTATATCTAACCAGCTCTAGTCCCGCCATCTGTGCCCACAATTTGGATTACAGCACACAAAAAACAGGGTCATGCCTTCTTCCCCGCGACTTGTAGCCTGTAAGGGATGTGTTCCAAGGAGGAAACAAACACAGATGAGAGAAAATATAGCAACGTAGAGGAAGACTGTCGCAAATTGAACCAAGGGCCAACATCATGGTGGGCCATACCTGAAAGAACACAGCCTCTCCATGGGCACATTTGGCGCAGCGTACTGCCTTGGTGCGAGGAAGTGTGGGATCTGCTGTTACATCTTGCAGAATCTGCGTTCTCTCATCTGCAGTGTGATGCACTTCATTGCGATACACGCAATTGTTATCTGCTGCCTCCTGTAATTCGGCATAACCATGAATGGAGGGTGAAGCTGGAGGATATGAAGCTGGAGGGGGGTAGACGCTGGAGTTACACAGCTGACAGTTATATGGATCTAGAAACCCTCAGAATCCCCAGGCAAGGTTGCAGTCGTGAAACAAAAGGACGGGCTTCAAATAAGGTACATGGACAAACCTGATGGTCACAGTTTCTGCAAGCATACAGTAATACGCGGTTCTCTCTATCTTCTCTCGGATACAGGATGTTGTTACTGCATACCACATGGAGGCAGAAGAAACGACAAGGGCCGGGAGGGAGCAGGGGATGGAGCGGGTGGGGGGAGGAGAGGGAGGGAAAAGAGGGGGAGGGGCAGACATGTTCACATGAGATGAGGGGCCGCCATGGCAACCGCGCGTCTGAGTGTACGGTGCGACGAGCAGGCGCATAGACGCGACTGAGCATTCCAATTGAGAGGAACAAACAGTGAGCATCGGGGTCAAGGGCGTTTCAACTAGCTGAGCTTCTATGCGTACCAAAAGAGACGGTCGGATAGCTAGGTGACAAAAACCCACCATTCGCGACAGAACTTCATCGCACTCATTGTGGCGAGGATGGTGCGAAGACTCGCACAAGTAGAGGACAAGCGATGGTTGAACAGGAGAAGTTCAAGCGGGATGAGAACCAAGAAGAGCTCGACTTTGAGCACGTAGTTGTCCTCACGCAAAGCGCGAGCGCGAATGGATTATACCGTGGCTGCGGTACGAAGTAGAGACGTACGAACTATTGAAGCAGCTGAGAGGTAACTGCTGAAGAACTGACAGAGGAACTGCTTTCTGCGGATTGCGTGGCGAAGGGCTGTACGCGATAACGTAAGTCGTCAGTCTCTGTTATGGCAAGTTTTGCTGTGACGCGTGCAAACTGATGCCTTTTACAAAATAGATCCATCATCTTTCTATTAATAACGTATGTGAACATTGTCAAGCTGAAATGAAAAATTTGGAGAATTAGTTATTCATGGATTTGAACACAATATCTCAAGTGGTACAAACATTGGCATTATCGACAGATTGAAAGAGGGAGTGGAGTGTATATCAAACTAGATAAAGTCCTTTTTTTTTGCAGTCTTGCATAGACCAAACTACCTTTCAGGCAGCAAACTGGTCAGCAGGCACTGATCTGATATCAGTGATCTGATTCACCTCGCAGTGCAGAATGTGCTTCTCCCCCCTGATGACCGCATACATAGCATTCGGTGCGATATAATCACACGTGCGCTCAATCCGGAACTCCTCTCCAGGAACCTGGTTCCCAGAGTGGATCTGCACTCCTGTAATGACAGCGTAGTCCGCTGTAGCGGGGTCGACTGTAAGGGAGATGAGGTGCTCTAGGTCGTCTGTGATGGCTTGCAGGGCAGCGCGAGTCACCTGCACCAGGGAAGGGCTTCCTGAACCAGGGGGGATCTGTTTATGAAGGACGGGGATGAGGAAGAAGGGAGAGGGAAGGGTGGAGAGGGAGACAGAGCGGGGGAGGAGAAAAGGAAGAAAAGAGGGTTGGGTGAAAAACGGGTTGGATCAAATATATGTACGCAAAAAAATGCAGGCACCGTGTTACATAGACCCAAATAGCCACCTACGCTATTTGTGGAAAGACGTTCGCTACTCTTCCAATGCACATTCATTCTCATTGTACTCATATTAGTTAGCTCTCAGTAACTCCCCTCTTCTCTCAATCATTCACATGTGCACTCTTATTGTACCATACCCCTCCTAACAATCCCCCTTGCCAAACACCTTCATCTCTGTTCACATTCAAGACTCATTTCCGAAGATTCTCATCTTCATGTTCTCATGAGTGGTCCCAGCACACATTTGCAGCACCCATCCCTGACTAATGCACACACCCACACACCCAACCCCCATCTCCGCTCGCAAAACCCCCGATCCCCCCTCGCCTCCCTCGATCTCCACACACCTTAGCAGCAATCTTCTTCTTCAGCAGAACGTATTCCGCGTTGTTGGGGTCGTCCTCGATCTCTCCTCCAGCGGAGATGTCGCCCTTGATGGCGATCAGCGCTCCGCACGCCGACGACGGCTTGCCGCGCCCGCGGCGAAGCAGCGACCCCACCTCGCCGCTCTCTCCAATGGACACGTGGGGGAAGCCGAAGAAGATATCTGGAAGTGAAGCGAAAAGGGGGAAGACAAAAAGTGGAAATGGGTAAATCCGAGAAACGGAAATCAAAGACTCACAGGATGGAGAACAGGGAGAGAAAGGATAACGGATTGGAAAGCATTTAAGAGAATTTCAACTGTATCACACGAGAGATTAGGGGAAATGGTCTGAAGGAATACTATGGAGAGCATTATGACGGCGAGAGAGTTTCTACTAACACGATGGTGTTGCGCTAGCAACTCGGTATGGCCCTTTCTGTCGTAGGACCCTCTAACATGGTGCACGGCCGGTCTACCCGCAATCCGCTCTTTCGCGAGGCTTCCCGTCACTTTCGCACCGGAACTCCGGCGAGTGGCTCATCGCAGCCTTGAACCCCGTCTTGCCACAATTCACGAGCCCTCCCAGTCCCGCAAGATTAAATCTGAGGCCAAACTCCTCATCAATAAGGTTCACGACGGGGTTACCACTTACATCTTTCGCGAGGCTTCCCGTCGGTTTCGCACGGGAACTCCGGCGAGTGGCTCATTGCAGCCTTGAACCCCGTCTTGCCGCAGTTCACGAGCCCTCCCAGCCCGGCAATATTAAAGCTGAGCCCAAACTCCTTATCGATGAGGTTCACGATGGGGCGGCAGACCTCGTCGCGACACGTGTTGACGAGCGCGATGCAGTTGTCGCGCTTAAAGCCCAGGTTGCGCAGCTCTTCCGCCACGGCGTGCATGAAGGTGTCCTCCTGCATCGCGTTGGGGAAGGTCGCCGCCATCGTCGCTAGCGCCGCGGGCGCGGCCTGAGAAGGGGAAGCGGAGAGGAGGGACCGGGGGAAGGGACGGGGGACGGGAGCGGAGGGGAGGGGGAGAAAAGGAGGAGAAAAAAAAACCGATAGAGCGAGGGTTAGAATACAGAACTGTAACGTGAATGAGCCAAAGGAAGCGATGACGTGGGGAGGTGCGCTTAAAGCCGAGGTTGCGCAGCTCGTCCGCCACGGCGTGCATGAAGGTGTCCTCCTGCATCGCGTTCGGGAAGGTCGCCGCCATCGTCGCTAACGCCGCGGGGGCAGCCTGAGGAGGTAGGGGGGTTGGAATGAAGGGAGATAGGTGAGGAGGCGAGGGATTTTCGGACCGGATCTGTTTTTGAACCCTTTTCAAGTGCTTTTGCCGTTCTTTGAACACTGCAGTGTGACATTATAAACGATGCAAAAAAAGTGGAAGGGCCCAATCCAAGGTCGCCAGTAGAATTCTTCATTTGAAAGAAAAGAGAGCGTGGCATACAAACACCTTGCGCTTGAAAAGGAACTTACGGAAAGGAAATGAGCGACATCGCGCTTACCCTCTTAGCGCGCGAAACCGCAGCGCCATTAGCGTCATTGCCTGCCGCCGGATTCGCACTGGCTGCTGGCTTAACCGCCTTAGACACCAGAGCGAACGTCGCACCTCCCAGGACTCCCGCGCCAAGCAACGCAGGAACGATGACTCCCCCTGGGGTCGAAGCGGGGGCAGAAGGCGCTGCGGCTGTGGACTCGGAAACGCTCGCGAAAAGCGTCTGCGACGGCTGCGATTGCTGCGACGTGACGGAGTCGCTGCCGCTGGTGGAAGCTGCGACGAGGACTGGCGCAGCGCGACGGGCAGACTGAGCCTTGTGCGCAATCTTGGCCGCCTTTGCGGGAGCAGCGGCGCGGAGGCCGGAGAACGCGGGGATGGAGCTGCTGAGAGCCGCCATGGCGTCTTTGTGAGGGGCGACTGGACTGAGCTGGCTGAATGAGTGAGCTACGGTGATGTGTGAGTCACTATATCGGACGTGTGAAGCTGTGGAAACGAGAGACAGAAAGGGAGAGAAACGTCTTTATAAAGCTTATCAGTCTTGTAGATTTGGTAAGCGATGCTTCCTTGAGGCGAGGGCTAAGGGCGTGTCCCACGAGTTCGTTTACAGCCCATGAATCACTGTTCAGACTGGTGAGTCACGGTTAAAAGCGGTGAAGCTAGAAAAACGCTTTATAATGCACCGAACCTTTCTCCATCGCAAAACTTGAACCGAAAAAGAACTCGTGGGACACGCCCTAAAGCCCAAAGAAATTCCAACTTTTTGGCGGGAAACTAGAATGTTCTGTTTGCCAGTCTAGTCAGTAGGTAGCCACAAATCGTTGCCACGTGCGCAGGCCACCTAGGCTCCAGAGTCAGCGAAACAGAATTGCGACGTCGTGAGGGCTCAGAAGGAGTCCTCAGAATGGTTACGACAGTCGCGAAAATCATTCTCAGTCAAGAAAATTCGCTGCGAATCGCCAACACGTGCCCAGAAACAGTTTTATGGAAAGGTTCATGCTCGCGTGGAAATGTCCTTCGCTGGTCGCAGATTCAACTTGCAGTTCCTTGGCCCA